GAGCCACCATGCCCAGCCTATTTTTTTTTTTTTTTAAGACGGAGTTTTTGCTCTTGTTACCCAGGCTGGAGTGCAATGGCTCGATCTCGGCTTACTGCAACCTCCGCCTCCTGGGTTCAGGCAATTCTCCTGCCTCAGCCTCCTGAGTAGCTGGGACTACAGGCACGCGCCACCATGCCCAGCTAATTTTTTGTATTTTTAGTAGAGACGGGGTTTTACCATGTTGACCAGGATGGTCTCGATCTCTTGACCTCGTGATCCACTCGCCTCGGTCTCCCAAAGTGCTGGGATTACAGGCTTGAGCCACCGCGCCCAGCCTATTTTTTTATTTTTATTTTGAGATGGAGTCTCGTTCTGTTGCCCAGCATGCTGGAGTGCAATGGTGCAATCTCGGCTCACTGCAACCTCTGCCTCCCGAGTTCATGCGATTCTCCTGCCTCAGCCTTCTAAGTAGCTGGGGATTACAGGTGCCTACCACCATGTCCAGCTAATTTTTGTATTTTTAGTAGAGACAGTGTTTGGCAAAGTTGGCCAGGCTGGTCTTGAACTCCTGACCTCAGGTGATCCGCCATCCTTAGCCTCCCAAAGTGCTGGGATTACAGGCATGTGCACGGGCTGGGAAACATTTTTAATTCTAAAATTTATGCCAGGCGCGGTGGCTCAAGCCTGTAATCCCAGCACTTTGGGAGGCTGAGGCGGGTGGATCACGAGGTCAAGAGATCGAGACCATCCTGGTCAACATGGTGAAACCCCGTCTCTACTAAAAAATACAAAAAATTAGCTGGGCATGGTGGCGTGTGCCTGTAATCCCAGCTACTCAGGGGGCTGAGGCAGGAGAATTGCCTGAACCCAGGAGGCGGAGGTTGCGGTGAGCTGAGATCGCGCCATTGCACTCCAGCCTGGGTAACAAGAACGAAACTCCGTCTCAGAAAAAAAAAAAAAATTCTAAAATTTATTCTTATTTTTAAATTTTTAGATTCAGGGGTACATATGCGGATTTGTTACAAGGGTACAGTGTGTGATGCTGAGGGTTTGAGCTTCTATTGATCCTGTCACCCAGATAGTGAACTTAATACCCAATAGGAAGTTTTTCAGCCCTTGCCCCCTCTCTGCTTCCTGCCTTTGGAAGTCTCCAGTGTCTATTGTTCCCATCTTTATGTTCGTGTGTACTCAATGCTTAACTCTCACTTATAAATGAGAACATACATTATTTGGGTTTGTTTCTGCGTTAATTTGCTTAGGATAATGGCTGCTGGCTGCATCCATGTCACTGTAAAGTATATGATTTCATTAATTAATTAATTAATTAATTAATTATTTTTTATTTATTTTTTATTTATTTTTAATTTTTTTGAGATGGAGTTTCGCTCTTGTTACCCAGGCTGGAGTGCAATGGCACAATCTCGGCTCACCACAACCTCCGCCTCCTGGGTTCAAGCAATTCTCCTGCCTTAGCCTCCTGAGTAGCTGGGACTACAGGCGTGCGCCACCATGCCCAGCTAATTTTTGTATTTTTTTTAGTAGAGACAGGGTTTCACCATGTTGACCAGGATGGTCTCGATCTCTTGACCTCGTGATCCACCCATCTCGGCCTCCCAAAGTGCTGGGATTATACGCGTGAATCAGTGCGCCCGGCCTGATTTTTTTTTTTTTTTTTTTGAGACGGAGTTTTGCTCTTGTTACCCAGGCCGGAGTGCAATGGCGCGATCTCGGCTCACCGCAACCTCCGCCTCCTGGGTTCAGGCAATTCTCCTGCCTCAGCCTCCTGAGTAGCTGGGATTACAGGCACGTGCCACCATGCCCAGCTAATTTTTTGTATTTATAGTAGAGACGGGGTTTCACCATGTTGACCAGGATGGTCTCGATCTCTTGACCTCGTGATCCACCCGCCTCGGCCTCCCAAAGTGCTGGGATTACAAGCTTGAGCCACCGTGCCCGGCCGATTTTTTTTTTTTTTTTAATGGAGTCTCCCTCTGTTGCTCAGGCTGGAGTGCAGTGGCACAATCTCAGCTCACTGTAGCTTCTTCTTCCCAGGTTCAAGCAATTCTCCTGCCTCAGCCTCCCCAGTAGCTGGGATTATAGGCACGTGCCACCATGCTCAGTTAAGTTTTGTTGGCATAAGCCAACTGTGCCGGCCTTAATTTCTTGTTATAGGTCTATTCCCATTTTTTATTTCTTCAGTCAGATTCAGTAGTGTGTGTTCATCTCATGTAGGTTATCTAATTTTTTTGCATAAAATGGTTTATATTATTTCCTTATAATCCTTTTTATTTCTTTAAGGTCAGTAGTAATGTTTTCTCTTTCATTCTGATTTTAATAATTTGAGTCTTCTCTGTTTTTTTTTCACTGGTAGTCTAGCTAAAAGTTTGTTAATTTTACTGATATTTTCAAATAACAAAGATTTTTTTCTTTTTTTTTGAGATGGAGTCTTGCTCTGTTGCTCAGGCTGGAGTGCAGTGTGCAATCTTGGCTCACTGTAACCTCTGCCTCCCAAGTTCAAGCAATTGTCCTGCTTTAGCCTTCTGAGTAGCTGGGATTACAGGCATATACCACCATGGCCAGCTAATTTTTGTATTTTAGTAGATATGGGGTTTCATCATGTTGGCCAGGATGGTCTTGAACTCCTTACCTCAAGTTATCCAGCCACCCCGGCCTCCCAGAGTGCTGGCATTACAGGCGTGAGCCACCATGCCTGATGTGCTTTCTTTTTTTTGAGACAGGGTCTCACTCTGTTGCCCAGGCTGGCATGCAGTGGCACAATCATAGCTTACTGCAACCTCTACCACCTGGTCTCAAGCAATTCTCCTGCCTTAGTGTCCCATGTAGCTGGGACCACAGGCACACACCACCACACCCGGCTAAGTTTAAAAAATCTTTTGTAGAGACAAGGTCTCATTTTGTTGTCCAGGCTGGCTTGAACTCTTAAGCTCAAGCAATCCTCCCTCTTTGGTTTTCTTAAGTGCTGGGGTTGCAGATGTGAGCCATCACATTGCCACAGTTTGTTGTTGTTTGTTTGCTTAGTGACTATTCTGAACTAATTTTGTAAGGCTTGTGTTCTTTGCCATATGTGGCTGGTGAAGTTCTCCTGGGTTAGCTTAATTGTTAGCTAATGTTTGGACAGATTTCTGTAAATACGTGGAACCAATAAACATCCCAATCTTTAATGTGGGACATGTCTTGCTTTTTTCTATTCTAGTCCCTACCAAAGCTCAGTTTGTTATACCCAAGCAAGTTAGATGGAACAGCGCCATGCTCTGAGTTTGAAATTAAGAGTTCTTTATTAATTAGCTGGTGACTGAGGGACAGCTAACACTCAAAATTCTCTCCAACCCAAGGAAGGGGCTGGATTCCTTTTTATACCTTGCTTAAGGTAGGGGAGGGGGAGCCTCGCTGAAGCAGAATTTACAGAAGCAGAACAAGCATGTTAGATAAGGAGGCTGGTAACTAGGAGGCAGGAAGTTCTCATGATTGTTGATTTTCAAGGAGGGTATACACAAGTAGTCCCCATGATTGCTGGTTACCAAGTCGGGTATACGGTACTTGTCATATATCAATCAAGGGGGGGCATTCACAATGGCAAGTGGGCTTGCCAAACAGGATATAGTTACAAAGGTTATATGTTTCTATAGTTCTAAGTACAGCATGACCCAGCACAGTAGCAAGACCTAAGTATGCACTTAAGGGAGAAGCGGCAGAAGGGGTGAGGTGGAGGTTAAGATAGAGTCTCTCTGGCTCTCAGCAAAATGGAATCTGTCTGGCTAATACAGGTAGGTTAGCACAAATTTGGCTACTGAATTTCTTTTTATAAACATAGGCCATTCAGTCCTTCCTACTTGTCCACTTGCCTTCTTGCTTGCCTTTGCAACTAGCATCACTGGCTACCAGGCCTCTGAGTTGGGCTCTGCCCATCCCTTGGGATGCCACACTGATTCTTGGGGCTTGGATGTCAACCATGTTCAAACTGCTTGGTTGTAGTGATTTGTTTGTTTAGGCCTAGTGGGCATCAGTTATTTGATGACCTGAATACTGCATGGAGATAATGGCCACACAAATACCTAGAACATTTACTAACCTGATGATGGATATGCTGGGGGAAGTCCTATGGATACCATGGGGATTCTTTGGCCATTGTCCCTAGGTACTCCCATGTGAGTAGGAGATCATTGTGTCCACCTGGCTGGAGTTGTGACTTGCTGGGGCTCATAGGGAGTGAATATGGGGTTTAGTACCAGGGGTGAGTGCCTCTTCTTTTCTGGACCCCTAGAATCTATGGGCATGAGCTTCTGGGCTGTGTGACAGGTGTCTGCTTAGATTATGATGGAACAAAGCAGAACAGTCTTGTCTCCAACTAAGAATTAGAGAATCTCAGTCCTCCAGGAGATAGGAGGTTTTCCTCCATTTTTATGATGTGATTTTGAAGAAACCCCCTTTTTCTTTCTTTCCTGAGTCTATTTGAGTATCTCCAGAGTTGGGGACCTTACCCTTTTCATTTCCACACAGTGTAACCCATGTTGGATAGCGGTTTCAGGTTTTTCTTTCTTGGGTTCATCTCAGATCTTTCTCCCTTTGCTTCTATTCACTGGTTCCAGTGTTATTCTTGGATGTTTCTTGGGAGTCTTTCACTGCCTGCCCTTTGCTTAGGGATAGGTGGGATAGTCTTTGATGGGGTAGGCTTCTGCTGAGACCAGTAAGTGAGGAGAATTTCCGGGTGGCCACATCCTGGATGATTATCTTCTTTTTGGCTAAGTGGTTCATTCATTCTAGGCCCCAGACATCTCCAATTCCATGAGAAGTGCAGCTAATTGAGGGTAGCTCACTCTGACTCCTGTTTGCCATACTTGGGTGGGGAGGATAGCAGTATATGTCCCCAAAGCCCTGGTTTGTTGTTGGTAGCAGGGTGACTGGCTAAGCAGTTCTTATTAGGTGTGTGATGAAAATCCTCCTTCATGCCCAGAGCCTACATGTTCAGGACTGACGAGTGCCTTCTGATTCCTCTGCAGGAGCTGATCGACCTCAAGATGATTCAGTGCAAGAGAGTTGTCAATGGTGAGTACAGATCTGGCTCCAGAATTATGCATGTGTCCTGCTGGGCTTAAGCAGCACTACCACTGCCCTTGCCTGGGGTGACAGTATCTTGCGTGGTTTCATCGAGTAATTTTGTAGATCACATGCTCCCTTGAGAGCAGTCACTGCTCTCCAGAGGCCATGACAAAAAGCCAGATGTGAAACAGGCTAAGAGTGCCTTTCACTCACAGGCATCCTGGGATAGAAATCACCATGTATCATAGCACAGGAGGAACTCTAGGAGCCTTGCAGTCAGGATAGATTTAGCACCCTGGCTTGGCCACTTGCTAGGTGTATAACCTTGGGCAACCCATATGACCTCTGTCTGCCTCAGTTCCTTTAACAGTAAAATGAAATCATAGTCATTGCTTTACTTAAATCATAGGGTTGGAGTGAGGACCAAATAAGTTCTGTGCACACCCTATGCTCTGTGAAAATGTGATTTTGACAAATTGTAATTTTGCTGATATTGACGAGGCTGATTCTGCTTTGATTAGAGTTGTAGTATATTCCTTGAGGTTTTTGTTACATATGTATATGCTTGTGAAATATATATATTTTTTGAGATGGAGTCTTCCTCTGTTGCCCAGGCTGGAGTTAGTGGGGTAATCTCAGTTCACTGCAACCTCCATCTCTTGGGTTAAAGCGATTCTCCTGCCTCAGCCTCCTGTGTAGCTGGGAACCACAGGTGCCCACCATCACAGCTGACTAATTTTTGTATTTTTAGTAGAGATGAAGTTTCACCATGTTGACCAGGCTGGTTTTGAACTCCTGACCTCAGATGATCTGCTCACCTCAGCCTCCCAAAGTGCTGGGATTACAGGCCTGAGCCACTGTGCCTGGCCTGCTTGTGAAATCTTTTCTTTTGAGATGGAGTCTAACTCTGTCACCCAGGCTGGAGTATACTGGCACAATCTTGGCTCACTGCAACCTCTGTCTCCTGGGTTCAGGCAATCCTTCTGCCTCAGCCTCTTGAGTAGCTGCAACTACAGGTGTGTGTCACCATGCCCAGCTAATTTTTGTATTTTTAGTAGAGACAGATGTCAAAATATTGGCCAGGCTGGTCTTGAACTCCTGACCTTGTGATCTACCTTCTTCGGCTTCCCAAAGTGCTGGAATTACAGACGTGAACCACCGTGCCTGGCCAAAATCTTTTTTTTTTTTTCGAGACAAAGTTTTGCTCTTGTTACCCAGGCTGGAGTGCAATGGCACGATCTCGGCTCACCGCAACCTCCACCTCCGGGGTTCAGGCAATTCTCCTGCCTCAGCCTCCTGAGTAGCTGGGATTACAGGCACGCACCACTATGCCCAGCTAATTTTTTGTATATTTTTTAGTAGAGACAAGGTTTCACCATGTTGACCAGGATGGTCTCGATCTCTTGACCTCGTGATCCACCCGCCTCGGCCTCCCAAAGTGGTGGGATTACAGGCGTGAGCCACTGCGCCCGGCCCTGGCCAAAATCTTAATGGTAGTTTCACTAGAAGTTATGACACAATTTTGTCGATTTTTTTTTTTTTTTCTGGAGACAGAGTCTCACTTTGTTGTCCAGGCTTGGAGTGCAATGGCATGGTCCTGGGTCACTGCAACCTCCATCTCCCAGGTTCAACCAATTCTGCTTCGGCCTCCCGAGTAGCTGGGACTGCAGGCACTCAACACCACACCCGACTAATTTTTGTATTTTTAGTAGAGACAGGGTTTCATCCTGTTGGCCAGGCTGGTCTTGAACTCCTGATCTTGTGATCCACCCACCTCAGCCTCCCAAAGTGCTAGGATTATAGGCGTGAGCCACCACACCCAGCCAAATTACTTTAAATGTATATATTTTTTCTGCGTGATAAAAAAGTCAATATTATAGAGCTGTGTAACCTAGAAAATAAAAATCCTCCATAATCCTACACCTAAAGAGGTAATCAGAAAGAGGAATAATGTGTGTTTTTCTATACATATAGTAAGTAATGTGTATGTACAAAATATGACATGTTTATGTATATCCCTCTTCTAGATTGAGGTAGTGTTTGGATAAGGAGAAAAAATGTGTGTGTGTGTAATATATATATATCTCCCCACCCCCTGAGATCATTCAACACATGTTGTTTTGCCATTTACTTTTCTATTAGGATATCTGCCCATGTCAGTACCTATAGGTGACTATGACAGAATTGATTTTACCAGAGCCTTAACAGGGGTTCCCGGTATTTTGCTGTTATAAACAGAGTTGCATTAGAAACACACAAAGATTTCGTGGTTACTTCTTATTGCCAGTTATGAGCTGTCTCTGTCAGTGATCACTTTGATTACCTCTCTCAACATGTCATCGCCTTTACCCCGCCCTTTTAAACTTTCTAATCTGTTGAATGCTGGGATGATAATAACAGTTTCCATGTATGGAAATGCTTTAAGTGCATCAAATATTTCATTTATTTCTCAAGACAGCCTTTGAGAGAAGCATATTCTCCCTTCTGCCATGTTCATTCTCTTTCATGTATAGTCGTCTTTAAAAGCTAATAATGGTAGCATCTATTGTGGAGCTTCTTTGGGAAGCTGACAGATAAAATACAGTTGCTTCTCGTTATGTGCAGTTGTTATTTCTATAAAGGTGCTATAAACATTGAATGAGGGGATACTGAACCAGTGACCGTGGCGGAAATACATGGTTAGGTTTGTGCAAGCCTCTGGTCATATTTTCATCAACTCATCAGTCCATAACCTTGTTTTATGTGTGTTTTTAAATTTTTCTTTGGTTTCTTTTTTGCGACCAGGTCTTACTCTGTTGCCCAGGCTGGAGTGTATTGGTGTGACCATAGCTCACTGCAGCCTCAAACTCCTGGGCTCAAATGATCCTCCTGCCTCAGCCTCCCAAGTATCTGGGACTTTAGGTGCACACCTTCATGCCTGGCCAATTTTTTTTTTTTTTTGTAGACAGAGTCTTGCTCTGTTGCCCAGGCTGGAGTGCAGTGGCACCATCTCAGCTCACTGCAACCTTCACCTCCTGGGTTCAAGCAATTCTCCTGCCTCAGCCTCTTGAGTAGCTGGGATTATAGGCACGTGCCACCATGCCCGGCTAATTTTTTGTATTTTTAGTAGAGAAAATTACCACAGTTTCACTGTGTCAGCCAGGATGGTCTCTGTCTCCTGACCTCGTGATCCTCCGCCTCAGCCTCCCAAAGTGCTGGGATTATAGGCATAGCCACTGTGCCTGTCCTGCCTGGCCAATTTTTAAATTTTTTGTAGAGATGGGGGTCTTACTATGTTCCCCAGCTGGTCTCAAACTCCCGGCTGTGTGTTTCTGTTTAAAGGCATATTATTTAATATATATCATGGATTAACATTGAACCCACTAACATGGGTAATAGTGCTGTAATTTCATGCCTAAACAAAGCTTATTCAACATGTGTATTTTCTCCATAAGGCCCATGACAGTCTTCTTGTGCTTAGGAACATTAGACAACATTTCAGCAGTATGCTTGGGACCATTTTATTTTATTTTATTTTGAGACAGAATCTCACTCTGTAGGCCAAGCTGGAGTGCAGTGGTGTGATCTCCGCCTGTCTGGCCCAAGCGATTCTTGTGCCTCAGCTTTCCAAGTAGCTTGGACTACAGGCATGTATCACCATGCCCAGCTAATTTTTTTTTTTTTTTTTTTTTTTTTTTTTTTTAAATTTTTAGTAGAGACTGAGTTTCACCATGTTGCCTAGGGTGGTCTTGAATTCCCTGACCTCAGGTGATCCACCTGTCTCAGCCTCCCAAAGTGCTGGGATTACAGGTGTGAGCCACCACACCCAGCCGCTTGGGACCATTTTAAACAGTGAGATCACCAACAAAAAGCATAAATATGCAGAAGTGTGGCACAAAATACACCACAAAAAGGACTCTTGGTGACAGTATGAGAGCTGAAGGGAGAAGGCTGAGCATCACCTTGTTTGATCTCAGCTGGGAGTATGCACATCAGGCAACTCAAAACTTTTTTTTTTTCTTAGGACATATCAGATATTAACAACTCAAAACTTTCACCACTCTGTGCCTGTCCTTGGATGACCATGAAAACATCTCAAGTATGGATTTTGGGGTTTCACAAATAAATTTTAACAAAGAGGCATATTCGCAAATATGGAACTATGAATAGCAATGGAGATGATTTTAACATAGTAACCTTCCACTCACAGGACCTGTCTTACTGTAAGTAGATAGTAAATTTGCTGAACGTCAGAGTGACGTTTTCTGGGAAAATTTGGGCCAAATCTGAAACATAGATAAACTTCCATGTATGTACATTTAAAAAAATTTTTTTAGATGGAGCCTCCCTCTGTTGCCTAGGCTGGAGTGCAGTGGCATAGTGTCGGCTCACTGCAACCTCTGCCTCCCAGGTTCAAGCGATTCTCCTGACTCAGCCTCTTGAGTAGCTAGGATTGCAGGCACCCTCCACCATGCCCAGCCAATTTTTGTGCTTTTAATAGAGATGGGGTTTTGCCATGTTGGTTAGGCAGGTTTCGAACTCCTATATCTTGGCCTCCCAAAGTGCTGGGATTATAGGCGTGAGCCACTGTGCCCAGCTATGTATGTACGTTTTGTTTCAAAAAAAATTTTTTTTCCTTGAGACAGAGTCTTGCTCTCTTGCCCAGCAAGACAGAGTCTTGCTCTGTTGCCCAACCTCTGCCTCCCAGGTTCAAGTGATTCTCCTGCCTCAGCCTCCCAAGTAGCTGGTATTACAGGCATGCCCTACTATGCCTGGCTAATTTTTGTATTCTTAGTAGAGATGGGGTTTTACCATGTTGGCCAGGCTGATCTCGAACTCTTGACCTCGTGATCCACCTGCCTCGGCCTCCCAAAGTGCTGGGATTACAGGTGTGAGCCACCACACCTGGTTGTGTTTCAACATTTTAAACATTGCAAAATGTTAACCACCATTCAGAAAAAGTGCATTAAACACAAACATACAGTTTAACAAATAATTGCAAAATGAACAACCGTCACCCAGGTCAGGAAATAGACTATCCTTATCATCACAGAAGCCTCCCACGTGTGTAGTATTTTTGGTAAGAATGGTATACATTTAGGATCTCTTTCCCCTCCAAGCTCACACTCTGGCTGTGTTTTCTTCCAGGGCTTACACTAGGGTTGAACTTTCATCTTCATTGAGTGGCCCTGTGTGTTGTGTTTTCTTGCAGAGGTGCTCAGCACAGTGGACTTTGTTGCCCCTGATGATCGAGTTGTCTTCCGCACCTGTCAAAGAGAGCAGAACAGGGTTGTCTTCCAGATGGTGAGAGACCCCATTGCTGCATGTCCTCCTGAGGCTCACCATCCCCTGGGATTTCCCAGCTCATCCTCTGTGCTAGGCCAGTGTTGAGTGGCTGGACTACATTGTACAACCGTGGCTTCCTGAAGACTCCACTTTAATGTTTTCCAAAGGGCCAGTCATGAGTGATTACACTATTGGAGACAGTTTAAGGAAATCAAACTGTCACAGTCTGATATGCCTCTAGTCTCAAATTTAATTTACTTACTTGTAGGAATTGTCTGTTTGGCCTGATTTCTCTATTTTTTAAATCCCTAGCATTGATTACTCAGATCATAGGCTTTGTTTTTATGTAGTGTATGTGTATTTCTCATAGAAAGAAATTAGGATTCCTCAAGAGTAGTTAAGATTTGTGTTTGAGTTGTGATGACTCTATAGTGCTCTTCTCTCACTTTGGGCATTTCTTGTTGCTTTTTCAGAAACATTGAATGATGTTTAGGTTTCTAAAAAATTGATAACAGCCAGGCGCAGTGGCTCGTGCCTGTAGTTCCAGCTACTCGGGATGCTGAGGTGGGAGGATTGTTTGAGCCTAGGAGTTCTGGGCTGTAGTGCACTATGCCAATTTTGTGTCCACACGAAGTTCGGCATCAATATGGTGACCTCCCAGGAGCGGGAGACCACCAGGTTGCCTAAGGAGGGGTGAACTGGCCCAGATCAACGGAGCAGGTCAAAACTCCCGTGCTAATCAGTAGTGGGATCGTGCCTGTGAATAGCCACTGCACTCCAGCCTGGGCAACATAGTGAGACCCCATCTCTAGAAAAGAAAAAGGAAAATTATTAAAAAAAAAAGAAAAAGAATTGATAACAGGTAAACATGTGATAAAGCAAATCTAGCAAAATGTTAATTGTAGCATCTAAATGGTGGGTATTTGAATAGTCACTATCAAATGTTTTAAAGTTTTTGATATGTTTGAAAGTAATCATAGTATTGATAACATTTTCTAGACCCTCAAAGTTTACCTTTTTCTTCTGGCAGTGAGCTAGTCTAGTGGGCTGCCCATTTAAGAGAAAGCCAGACTGACTCTTATGTTCGTTCGTGTGTGTGTGTGTGTGTGTGTGTGTGTATGTGCACTACATGAGTGTGTTTGTCAGTGTATGTGTAACTGTGTCAGGACAACGATTGACGCAACTTTTTTGTATTTCCAGGGGACTTCAGACGCAGAGCGAGCCCTTGCTGTGGCCAGGCTTGTGTAAGTTCCTCCTTTATCTTTTTTTTTTTTTTTTTTTTGAGATAGAGTTTTGCTCTGTAGCCCAGGCTGGAGTGCAGTAGCACAATTTCGGCTCACTGCAACCTCCACCTCCAGGGTCCCAGTTCAAGCAATTCTCCTACCTCAGCCTCCCAAATAGCTGGGATTACAGGCATGAGCCACCATGCCCAGCTAATTTTTATATTTTTTAGTAGAGACAGTGTTTCACCACATTTGCCAGTCTGGTCTTGAATTCCTGACCTCGTGATCCGCCCGCCTCAGCCTCCCAAAGTGGTGTGATTACAGGCGTGATCCAACCATGCCCAGCCCCTCCTCTATCTTTAACACTGCCTTTGTCTCTCCTTTGAACTGTGAGGCTTTAATGTCTTGGTAACTTTGGAGATGACCCACCCTTCTGCCTTCTAGCCCATTACCTTCTATTTTCAGGTTAAGATTGTCTGATTTCCCTCTTTTTGTGGCATCCAAGGGCTGGCCTGGGACTCACGTGTACCCACAGTGCCTAGATCCCAGAGACCTGTGCATACTGCGGGGAGCTGTTTTTTTGTATTTATTTGAAACTCCCTTTGCAGGGATTCCCATGACTATGAGTTCTGAAGCTTTAAGTATAGAAGTATAGGTAAAACATATTGCTTCCTGAATTAACAAAGACAGGAAGCCTGGGCAACATAGGTAAACCTCATCTCTACAAAAATGGTGGGGCATGCCAGTGGTTCCAGCTACTTGGAAGGCTGACGTGGAAGGATTACTTGGGCCCAGGAGGTCGAGGTTGCAGTGAGCCCTCATTGTGCCTCTGCACTCCAGCCTGGGGAACAGAGTGAGACCTTTCAAAAACAAAAACAAAGGCAGGAGAGTGCTATAGGTAATGTGATAGGTTTTGAAATTAAGACAGACCAGGTTTGGAATTTTGGTTTTGCTACTTGTTAACTGTGTGACCTGAGGTAAGTTACTTAATCTCACTGGGAATTTTCTATAAAATAGTGCTACCAACATCTGGCATAGGGAAAGGTAAATGAAATAATGCATCTAAATGTCTTTGTAGCATGTGGCACATAGTGAGATCTTAGTAAGTGTTAGCTACTGTTACAATTACAAAGAGAGTAAGAGGGAACTCAGGCCGTTATTGCTGTTGATCACAGACTATTAACTAGGTATTAATATTTAGGTTAATATTAGGTATTAATATTTTTGCCATTGAAAGTAATGGCAAAAACCCCAATTACTTTTGTACCAACCAAATGCACACCAGAGGATGGAGTGAGGATTCTTTTTATATCTGAGAATTGTTTGGATTAAACCATCTGTGCAGCCCAGCTAACAAAGGCAGTGCTATAACTTTCACTAGAAGCTGTAGCCTAGGAAAGGGCTCTTAGGCTCATGTCACTTTTCTGCATTGACAAATGGCTTTTACTCTCTCAGCCAAGTTCGGTGTCACTGAGTTATCTGATACGACTCCAAAGTGGCAAAGTCCTCTCTGCATCTAGCCTTTTATAGATGTGTACATACATTATATCTTTTCTCTGGTTCTCTGCTCAGATGAGACAGTTGCACATTTTAGGGACAGGTTTCTTTCCCATTTTTCAGCTTCTGTCATTGGTGCTGGGTATGTTTCTTTTTTCTTTTTTTTGAGACAGAGTCTCAATTTGTCATCCTGGCTGGAGTGCAATGGCATGATCTTGGCTCACTGCAACCTCCGCCTCCCAGATTCAAGCGATTCTCCTGCCTCAGCTTCCTGAGTAGCTGGGATTACAGGCATGCACTACCATGCCCGACTAATATTTTGTATTTTTAGTAGAGATGGGGTTTCACCATGTTGTTCAGGCTGGTCTCAAACTCCTGACCTCTTGATCTGCTGCCTTGGCCTCCCCAAGTGCTGGGATTACAGGCGTGAGCCACTGCGCCCGGCCGTGGGGGGTTGGTGTGTTTCATAGGGTCAGGGACAGGGTAAGAGGTTCATGAGCACAGACCCTTTGCCTTTAATTCCACATCTGTGCCTTTAATTCCACCTTCTTTCCTCTAATTCAATATTTGCTACCTTTACTCCTTCATCTTTTTCCAGAGAAAATGATGTGGCTGGTATTGATGTCAACATGGGCTGTCCGAAAGAATATTCCACCAAGGTAAACTGATTTCTTTATACTCCTCATAAATGTAGGATGCAGATGAAAAGGCTAACAAGACATAACAACTAAGTATAATACCTGACTCTGGACTGGATTCTGTACTAGACAGGGAAAATGCTCAAAAAGTTTAGATTATTAGATGAACTGGCAAAATTAGAATAGGGAACCATAGTATATTAGCTAAATATACTGTATCAGTGTAACCTTAGGAAGATAACTCTTCTGTGGTTATGTAACAGAATATCTTTATTCTTAGAGAATACACACTGAGGTAGGGCGCAGTGGCTCACACCTGTAATCCCAGCACTTTGGGAGGCTGAGGCAGGTGGATCACGAGGTCAGGAGTTTGAGATCAGCGTGGCCAACATGATGAAACCCCATCTCTACTAAAGATACAAAAAATTAACTGGGGCCGGGCGCGGTGGCTTAAGCCTGTAATCCCAGCACTTTGGGAGGCCAAGGCGGGTGGATCACGAGGTCAAGAGATCGAGACCATCCTGGTCAACATGGTGAAACCCCGTCTCTACTAAAAATACAAAAAATTAGCTGGACATGGTGGCACGTGCCTGTAATCTCAGCTACTCAGGAGGCTGAGGCAGGAGAATTGCCTGAGCCCAGGAGGCGGAGGTTGCGGTGAGCCGAGACCGCGTCATTGCACTCCAGCCTGGGTAACAAGAGCGAAACTCCGTCTCAAAAAAAAAAAAAAAAAAAAAAAAAACTTAATAAAATTAACTTAAAAAATTAAATTAATATTAATGACAGGCAGACGCCTGTAATCCCAGCTACTCAGGAGGCTGAGGCAGGAGAATCACTTGAACCCAGAAGGTGGAGGTTGCAGTGGGCTGAGATCACACCATTGCACTACAGCCTGGGCAACAGGGCAAGACTTCATCTAAAAAAAAAATAAGAATCCACAAGAATACACACTGAAATATTTAGGAGTAAAGGGATATGGTATATGTAACTTACCCTCAAGTGGTTTATATGTATACACACACTCATATATCACAAACATACAAATACACGTGTTCATACATAAATTATATTTTTTATTATATCTTATATAAATAATATGTACTATATCATTATATATTATGTAATATATAGGTGTATTATTACATATGATATACAATATAATATATAATTATGTATTAAATACATTATTTATATAATTGTATATATGTGTGTGTGTATGTGTATGTGTGTGTGTGTGTGTATATATATATGTATATATATATATATATATATATATATATGGAGAGAGAGAGAGAGAGAGAGAGAAAAGAGAGAACTTATGCCCAAGTAATAAAACGATGCAAAAGTACAGAGAAGCGGCTGGGCGTGGTGGCTCACGCCTGTAAATCCCAGCACTTTGGGAGGCCGAGATGGGTGGATCACAAGCTCAGGAGTTAAAGACCAGCCTGGCCAACATGATGAAACCCCATCTCTATTTAAAAAAAAAAAAAAAGTACAGAGAAAAATAAGAGTGGGCAGGGCTCTGTCTTTTCATGAATAAAACTGAGACACATATCCCAGAGAGCCCAGAGGAGGATTTAAAAAAAAGGAAAACATTTGAGACATACATTGAAACAAAAGAGAGGATGCTGGGTGCAGTGGCTCACACATGTAATCCTAGCACTTTGGAAGGCTGATGTAGGAGGATTACTTGAGCCCAGGAGTTTGAGACTAGCCTGGACAACAAAGTGAGACCTTGTCTGTACAAACTTTTAAAAGTTAAAAACAAAAACAAAAAAAGACTGGGCATGGGGGCTCATGCCTGTAATCCCAGCACTTTGGGAGGCTGAGTTGGGCAGATCATTAGAGGTCAGGAGTTTGAGACCAGCCTGGCCAACATAGTGAAACCCTGTCTACTAAAAATACAAAAAATTAGCTGGGCATGATGGTGTGTACCTATAATCCCAACTACTTGGGAGGCTGGAGCAGGAGAATCACTTGAACCTGGGAGATGGAGGTTGCAGTGAACCAAGATCATGCCACTGCCCTCCAGCCTGGGCGACAAGAATGAAACACTGTCTCAAAAAAAAAAAAAAAAAAAGAAAAGAAAAGAAAAGAAAAAGTGAATGCAATGCAAATGTTCCCATTGTCACATCAGAAGAGATCAGACTATGGTAGCCCAGAGAAGGGAAAGGAAAGGTAGCCCTTAAACTTGGAATTTTTTTTTTTTTTTTTTTTTTGAGGTGGAGTTTCACTCTTGTTGCCTAGGCTGGAGTGCAATGGCACGATCTCAGCTCACTGCAACCTGTGCCTCCTGGGTTCAAGCGATTCTCCTGCCTCATTTTCCCGAGTAGCTGGGATTACAGGCATGTGCTACCATACCCAGCTAGTTTTGTATTTTCAGTAGAGGTGGGGTTTCTCCATGATGATCAGGCTGGCCTTGAACTCCTGACCTCAGGTGATTTACCCTCCTTGGCCTCCCAAAGTGCTGGGATTACAGGTATGAGTCACTGTACCCAGCCTAAATTTGGAATTTTATAGAGAAATGTGTTCCTTGGGCTGAGATTTGGGACCCTGTAATCAGAGGGTGTGGCATAAGCAGGGCCCTGGGGATGAATATGAGGTAGACACATGGAGGCATGAGTACCTTCATTTGACTAGAGGTTTGTCTAGTGGAGTTGATGAAGAAGCAGAGGAGTGCAGGATTGAAAACCTTGGTGGATAACGATCATCTGGACTTGTACTTTAGGTATTGTTGGTCTTTTTTTTTGAGAGGAGTCTTGCTCTTGTTGCCCAGGTTGGAGTGCAGTGGTGTGATCTTGGCTCACTGCAACCTCCGTCTTTTGGGTTCAAGTGATTCTCCTGCCTCAGCCTCCTGAGTAGCTGGGACTACAGGCACCCGCCACCAGGCCTGACTAATTTTTTTTTGTATTTTTAGTAGAGACAGAGTTTCGCCATGTTGTCCAGGCTGGTCTCTAACGTCCAACCTCGATTGTGATCTGCCCACCTTGGCCTCTCAAAGTGCTGGGATTACAGATGTGAGTCACTGCGCCTGGCCTGTTTTGCTCTTTTCTGATTACTTCTTTGTGTTCCTAAATTATGTGAGGAGCAGAGTTAAATTGATTTGGAGGCAGGGTGCGGTAGCTTGCACCTGTAATCCCAGCACTTTGGAGGGTCGAAGCGGGTGGATCACTTGAGATCAGGAGTTTGAGACCAGCCTGACTAACAGGTGAAACCCCGTCCCTACTAAAAATACAGAAATTAGCTGGGCATGGTGGCGCATCCCTGTAATCCCAGGTACTTGGGAGGCTGAGGTAGTAGAATCACTTGAACCCAGGAAACAGAGGTTGCAGTGAACCGAGATTGTGCCATTGCACTCCAGCCTGAGCTACCAAGTGAGACTTTGTCTAAAAAAAAAAAAAAAAAAAAAGATTTGGAATCATCTCCCTGATATATTGTAGAGTGAAAAAAGCTAGGAGCAGAATTATGTACTTATGTACTACTTTGTCTAAATGGTACTATACCATTTATATAAGGAGGATGGGGAATGAATACATATATTTATTTGTTTATTCAGGGAAGATTTTTGGAGAGACACACAAGAAACTAGTAACATTGGTTTCCTCTGGGGAATAAACGTAAGTTTTTATTTGGTTATGCATAGGTAGTGAATTCCCGTTACAGGGGTGCTACTGAAAATAATTAACTGGCACAGCACTGGCACTAATCAGTCAGAAGAGATACCAACCAGTATGCCAGGCATGTATGTACTAGCTGAATATCTGCTGTGTTCTCATGGTTCAAGAATCGAAGCCAGATAAAAAATATAGATTGAATTTGGGTGCGGTGGCTCATGCCTGTAATACCCACACTTTGGGATGCTGAGGCAGGTGGATCCTGAGGTCAGGAGTTCGAGACCAGCCTGGCTAAAAGGATGAAACCCTGTATCTACCAAAAAATATAAAAATTAGCCAGGTGTGGCGGCATGGACCTGTAGTCCCAGCTACTTGGGAGGCTGAAACAGGAGAATTGCATGAACCTGGGAGGTTGCAGTGAGCCAAGATCACATAACTGCACTCCAGCCTGGGCCACAGAGTAAGAACCTGTCTCACACACACAAAGAAAGTGTAGATTGAAAAGTCTCCCATTCCTTAGGGTGGGAGACTTCTTATTCATTACCCATTTGAATTAAATTTTGAATGTTTTACTTATTCAAAAAAGCAAGCAAGTTAAATAGGAAGGAAGGAAGGAAGGAAGGAAGGAAATTTCATTGCTGAGAAAGTCATTATTGTGGAAAGGGCAGTAAAACTGAATTTTAGATCCTGTGATTCTATAAGGAAGGGCTGGATATGTGTGAGTGGAAGGACAGATGGAGCCAGAGGGAGTGCCAGGGCTTCCTCAAGGCCTTCAAGGTTTCTTTTATGACCATTGTAATCTACGGTTGGTGGATTTTCCAGTCTACCCATTCTTTAAAATCCAGGCTCAGCTTAGCTGAGTCTGTGGTGGTTTAACGTCCTCTCTGATTCCAATTTGTCAACCTTAAACATGAACTTAAAGTGTAATAACTGAACTTAAAACTTCTGAGCACGTTCTTTGAGCATTTGTTAGTATGTAATCTTTATACTGGCAACATATATTTATCGGAATTGGTTTTTTTTGCCTTCATCTCACTCCTAATGGATTCAGATTTTTAAAGATCTGAATTACTTTTAAAAGTAATTAATACCATTGTCCAGAACTTGGAAAATATAGACAAGTATAGGAAAGAGCAGGAAAATCAACAGTAACTCCCCATAAAGAGCAACCACCATTGCTATTATCAAGATTCTAGTGGTTGCGTGGGTTGGTGGTTTCCATTTCCTGGGCTTTTGTTAGAGTTGGGCATGAGTCTGGGCTGGGATGTTGTTGCTGGCAGAAGAGAAAGGCCTAGATAAAGTTTGTAAGTTGTGTGCATCTTAATGGCTGTGCTGGTGGTGGTGATGCCTATGCAAGCAGTAGGTATGACAGGAAGAAGGAGCATTTGATCTTATTTCAAAGGAAGAGTGATTCATTGTTTTTTTTTGTTTGTTTGCTTGTTTTTGAGACAGAGTTTCGCTCTTGTTACCCAGGCTGGAGTGCAATGGCGCAATCTCCGCTCACCGCAACCTCTGCCTCCTGGGTTCAGGCAATTCTCCTGCCTCAGCCTCCTGAGTAGCTGGGATTACAGGCACGCGCCACCATGCCCAGCTAATTTTTTGTATTTTTAGTAGAGACGGGATTTCACTATGCTGAGCAGAATGGTCTCGATCTCTTGACCTCGTGATCCACCCGCCTCGGCCTCCCAAAGTGCTGGGATTACAGGCTTGAGCCACCGCGCCCGGCTGATTCATTATTTTTTTAAGGACTTGGGAGATGGTGGGATTTAGTGTATTAAGACATGGAGGCCTGGGTTAGGGAGTGGACAGTCTTGAAAAATAAGTTTATATAGCCCACTTCTAGATAGAACTGTGGGTTTTACCAAGGGGATCAGAATTATGACTTTTTTTTTTGTTGGAGATGGAGTCTCACTCTGTCATGCAGACTGGGGTACAGTGCTATAATTTCATCTCGCTGCAGCCTGTGCCTCCTGGGTTCAAGCAATTCTTCTGCCTCAACCTTCTGAATAGCTGGGACTACAGGAGCACACCACCACACTTCAGTAATCTTTGTATTTTCAGTAGAGACAGGGTTTTACCATATTGGCCAGGTTGGTCTTGAACTCCTGACCTCAGGTGATGGGCCTGACTCAGCCTCCCAAAGTGCTAGAATTACAGGTATGAGCCACCATGCCCAGCTTATAAATTTTAAAAGTCATCACTCTTGGCCATCCAGCCTGGCCAACATGGTGAAACCCCATCTCTACTAAAAATACAAAAAAAAAAAATTAGCCAGGTGCGGTTGTGTGTGCCTGTAGTCCTAGCTGTTTGGGAGGCTGAGGCAGGAGAATCACTTGAACCTGGGAGGTAGAGGTTGCAGTGAGCCAAGATTGTACCACTGCACTCCAGCCTGGATGACAGAGTGAGACTCTGTCTCAAAAAAAAAAAAAAAAAAAAATTGTCACACTTCAGTCCCAGATGTTATGGGCACAGATACTGCTGCCTTCCTACTTGTTTAAAGACGTGCCAGTTGCCAGTGGGACTTGGTGCCTTGGAGATGAGTGCCTCAGTAGTGCCCAGTTGCCATACCCCGTCCCATGGAGAGGGCCATGCTGTCTCCCAGCTGTAAAAGACCTTTTGTGTTTCTCCTTAGGGAGGAATGGGAGCTGCTTTGCTGTCAGACCCTGACAAGATTGAGAAGGTAAGTCCTACATGGGTGAAAGCAGGGGTCCTCAAACAGCTCCAAACTACAGTTGTCTGCAATACCTCCTTCCACCAATGTCAGATTTACTGATGTCCACCCAGTTTCTCTACCTGCGGCCTAGGGATTTCCAAAAAATCTTCCCAGTGATTTTGACATGCAGCCAAGTTTGGGAACCCCTGAGCCAGCCCACAGCAAGCTTGAAGTTCGTAAAAGGCCAAGAGCTAGGGACATGTCAGTGAAGAGCCAGGGCTTCGGAGGACTCAGAACCTCCTCTGTATTGCCTGTCTCCCTTCTGGGAAGGTCTTGAGAGCAGAGGCCAGGCCACCTGTGGTGAGGACAGGCTTAGTGGCCCTGTGTGTTTGTATGTGTGTGGGTAGATTGGCCTCTCCCAGGGGGCTTGATGAGAACAGGAGTGGGTCTCCTGTGTCCTGACAGAGTCTACCCCAGCCCTTGGAGAGCAGGCCAGACCAGCGTCAGATGAGGCAAGCTGAAGTTAATCTCTCTGTTCCCTTTTCTTTGTTGATTCTGTAGGCTAGCTTAATGAGGCCCTGGGGACCAGTTGGCACTTACTACCTGGCATTGTGAGCTGTCAGGGCGTGTGGCGGTGACATTCTCTGCCATGCCATCCATATCCTTTGTGTTTCCTCTCCCAGTCTGCCAACTCTTTCCTTTTAGCTTCTTTGTTTTCCTTTTCATTCTCTCTTGCTAGTTCCCTGTCTGGGCTTTAAGCCTCATCCTGCTTCCCAGGCTAGAGTGACTTGAGACTCAGGCACCACCAATGAGAGCTGGCATTGGTGCTGGGTGCCATGTCAGCAGTTCCTCCAGCCCTGCGGGCTCTGGGGCATGGGAAGACCACTGTGCTTGCTGGCTTGGTTCCTTCTCATTTTTCCCATGTGTAGCCAGAGATACTATATCTGTAGTGTACCTGTATAATGTGACTTTCTTTTTTTTGAGACAGAGTCTTGCTCTGTCGCCCAGGCTGGAGTGCAGTGACATGATCTCAGCTGTCTGCAACCTGTGCCTTCAGGGTTCAAGTGATTCTGCTGTGTCAGCCTCCTGAGGAGCTGGGATTAGAGGCACCCACCACGACTCCTGGCTAATTTTTTTCTTTTTTTTTTTGAGACGGAGTTTCACTCTTGTTACCCAGGCTGGAGTGCAATGGCGCGATCTCGGCTCACCGCAATCTCTGCCTCCTGGGTTCAGGCAATTCTCCTGCCTCAGCCTCCTGAGTAGCTGGGATTACAGGCACACGCCACCATGCCCAGCTAATTTTTTGTATTTTTAGTAGAGACGGGGTTTCACCATGTTGACCAGGATGGTCTCGATCTCTCGACCTCGTGATCCACCCGCCTCGGCCTCCCAAAGTGCTGGGATTACAGGATTGAGCCACCGCGCCCGGCCCAGGCTAATTTTTATATTTTTAGTAGAGACAGAATTTTGCCATGTTGGCCAGGCTGGTCTTGAACTGCTGACCTCAGGTGATCCTGCCCGTCTCAGCCTCCCAAAGTGCTGAGATTACAGGTGTGAGCCACTGCACCTGGCCATAATGTGCCTTTCATTTGATCCTGAAGCCCCTTGAAGTAAACAGGATTGGTATTTATCTCTATTTGATCAGGAATAATAAAGCACAGAGAGAGAAAATAATTTAAGATCATATAGTAAATAAGTGTCAGGTATAGCCAGCTTGTAAGCCATAGTCTTTTCTGACTTCTAGTGTCAGCACTCTCCTCAGTAGCATTTCAGGTTAAAAGTACCTGGGTATAATTCATAAGCTTCAGGTTAATAGGCACCTCAACTTGGAAATCTCCCGTTAGACACTTCTGTGCAGGGTGGAGTGGAAGTAGACATCGTGGATGTCAAATTGGTTTCCACACTTAGGAGCAGGGCCCCAGCAGGGAGGATATGGTTCACAACATGAGCACACAGGCGTTTTTGTTATCGTCCAGTCTTCTCTCTTCTCAGACTCAGGATGTTGGCTCTGTCCTCTCTACTGCCCCTCTTTGAATGAGGTAAATTTCATCCATGAGGCAGCAGAGCTACACTCAACCTCAGAAGTTTAGGTCATTCCACTGCTCCTCTGTTTGGGTATTTAGATGGTCCAGGTTGGACTGATAGATGGGGTTTGCCCCATGGTGGGGAGGTTGCATGCTTCCACAACAGAGCCAGATGTGACTTAGGTGTAGGGGCTGGATTCAGTTCAGGTCCAGACTATGCTGGCAAACTGGGTGACCTGGGTGAGAGCTTTGTGGGTCCTTCCAGGCTTGGTGTTTGAGGCCCATGGTTCCATCTATGGGAGTATCTCAGGATCACCTCTAGAAATTTTCCCAAAGATGTGCCGGGCGCGGTGGCTCAAGCCTGTAATCCCAGCACTTTGGGAGGCCGAGGCGGGTGGATCACGAGGTCGAGAGATCGAGACCATCCTGGTCAACATGGTGAAACCCCGTCTCTACTCAAAACACAAAATATTAGCTGGGCATGGTGGCACGTGCCTGTAATCCCAGCTACTCAGGAGGCTGAGGCAGGAGAATTGCCTGAACCCAGGAGGCGGAGGTTGCGGTGAGCCGAGATCGCGCCATTGCACTCCAGCCTGGGTAACAAGAGCGAAACTCCGTCTCAAAAACAAAAACAAAAACAAAAACAAAAACAAAAACAGAAATTTTCCCAAAGATCTTTGTTTGGGGTTATGAAAAACCTTAGAAATACATAACGTTGGTGGTTGTACAACATTGTGAATGTAATTAATGCCACTAAATTATACACATAAAAATGTTTAAGATGGCAAATTTCGTGCTATTAATTTTACCCCAGTTATAAACAAAGGATGCTATCTGTTAAGAATTCTGCAGACTCTTGGGATAAATAGGGGTGGAGAGCGGGATATCAATCTCTTTGAGAAAGCTTCTACCAGGTAACTCTGGTATACATTCCCTGGATTAAGAATCTCCATTTTATTTTTATTATTTGAGAGGGAGTCTCACTCTGCCACCCAGGCTGGAGTGCAGTGGTGTGATCTCAGCTCACTGAAACCTCCACCTCCTGGGTTCAAGTGATTCTCTTACCTCAGCCTCCAAGTAGCTGGGATTACAGGCATGCACCACAATGCCCAGCTAATTTTTGTATTTTTAGTAGATATAGGGTTTCACCATGTTGTTCAGGCTGGCCTCGAGCTCCTGACCTTAGATGATCCTCCTGCCTTGGCCAAAGTGCTGGGATTACAGATGTGCTCAGGGCATCCCCCTTGTGTACACTGGGCCATGGCTGACAATTGGCAGGGCCAGGACTTGAACTCAGGTCTCACTGCTTTCCAGGCCTATACTTTCTCATCTGCTGCCTCCCAGAAACCAGGGGAGTGAAGGAATCTGCTTTTCTTCAGTCGACCAGTGGGTCTATTGAGGCAAGCCCACTTGTAGGTAGATGTGCTGTTCCTCTGCTTATATATGGAATTGTCTCTCATTCTTTCTCCCTCAAAGACTTGGATCTGGAGAGCTGGTATTCAGAAGAGTTTCATGCTAGAGCCTGGCCAGTAGACAGTCTGTAGTTGCCATTTCCCCTCAGTGTGACCCTTGCAAGTGGCTAGGGTTTTGGTTGCCTAATTTCCTTCCTCGTCCTTAACACACACGAAACACACAGAAATACTGAAGAGAGTACTTAGAGCTGCTTGTATAAAACACAGCAAAAGGAAGTTCTACAAGATAAATTGGATCAGACCAGCTGGTGTTGCTTAAATTGACAAATGTCAGAGGATTTTAAGTGAGCACTTGTAAAGGAACCTTTGAGAGATGTTGCTTTGAGCATGAAGGATGAGATTAGAATGAGGATTTTTATTGTATTTCTTGATGAACCTGACAGTCCTCCCGTTAAAAAGTAAGTGCATTTTTAAGGCCTCCAGAGTGACCCTAAGACCTCAGGCCCAGTCTGCCTCCTGGGGCAGCACCTGGGGACTGTTCCTTCCTGGTAGTTCCTGGCAGTGGGGCCAGCAGGTCCTGTCTTGCTCACGAACTGTCCATCTTTCTGTCAGCCCAGCCTCTTGGTCTGATGTCTTCTGGCATGGCCTGCCTCAGCCTGTCCCTGAAAGGCCTCCATTACTGGTTTTTGCAACCTGACTCTCTGCTGCCCCTGACTGTCTAGAATTAAAACTGGCAGCAGTCACTTAGATATCCCCTGCTCTGCTAGACAGAGATCCAGTTCTTGGAAGAGGGTTCTTGGGATCATCTTTCTTCCAGCTGGCCTGGCCTGAAATTTTTGATGAGGAAAGAAGATAGCAATGCCACCGCCATGCAGTGTCATCTACACCTCTCTATCTCTGATTCTTGTATGGTCTGGTCTTGCTACCTCCCTGTTACTTTCCTGCATGACTTCTTGATCTTTCTTTGAAATCTTTTGCAATTGCTATGTGATAAGCACTTTTAAATATGTTAAATACATTGTCTTTTCCTTTGCCAATTTCACTCATGTATATCTGACTCCCCTAAAGGGCAATGCAGGCCTTTAAAAGCCTTCTTGTTCCCTCACCCTGCAAGTCCTGGAACAACACTCAGGGAACATTCTTTTCACCCAGGAAAGAAGCTGTTTGTCCTTTCCTTCTTTCTTTCTTTCTTTTTTTTTTTTTTTTTAACAGGGATGGACTAGGTACAGTGGCTCATGCCTGTAATCCCAGGACTTTGAGAGACTGAAGCAGGTGGATCACTTGAGCTCAGGGGTTTGAGACTAGCCTGGCCAACATGGTGGTCCCAGCTACTCTGGAGGCTGAGGTGGGAGGATGGCCTGAGCCTGGGAGGCAGAGGTTACAGTGAGCCAAGATTGTGCCACTGTACTCCAGCTCGGGCAACGGAGCCAGACTCTGTCTCAAAACAAAGCAAACAAACAAACAAAAAGGGAACAGGGTCTTGCTGTGTTGCCCAGGCTGGTCTCAAAATTCTGACTTCAAGCAATCTTCCCACCTTAGCCTCTCAAAGTGTTGGGATTACAGTTGTGAACCACCACACCCAGTCAGCTATGTATTCTTTTTTTCATTTTCAGCCATGTATTCTTAACCAAGACTAGGTCAGAATGATACTGAGGACGGGATAGAGTGTGTTGGGAGAGCCTTTTGAAAACACCCATTCGTAAGCCCTGACCCTAGATACTCATTCAGGAAATAACTGTGGAATTCAACAGTTTGTATTTCTTCAGCTCTCCATATAATTCTGGTATTTGTCCAGGCAAAGGCTCACTGAGCTGCACACAGGTGTGCACGCATACCCGTTTACTCATTCATTTAGTATATTTGACAAATATGTATACACCATTAGGTGCAAGGCAGGTACTGGGGCTCCAGTGTAGAACAAAGACAGGCCCTTTGCCTCATGGAGCTTATGTGTGTATGTATGTAACAAACACAGACATGCATTCACACATACACCTGTTCATGCACCAGAATGCACAGTCTGTAGCAGAGTTAATTAGTACAGTCACTGTAGTGATTTGTTCCAGAAGACTTAGGTGGTCTTGTGTTTTCCTCTCTGCAGATCCTCAGCACTCTTGTTAAAGGGACACGCAGACCGGTGACCTGCAAGATTCGCATCCTGCCATCGGTAAGGATGGTGTGTTACATTCGAAGGTCCATCCTCTCTGATGATGTTGGATTTGGGTTTGTGAATGATTCTTTTTTTTTTTTTTTTTTTTTTTGAGACGGAGTTTCGCTCTTGTTGCCCAGGCTGGAGTGCAATGTCACGATCTCGGCTCACCGCAACCTCCGCCTCCTGGGTTTAGGCAATTCTCCTGCCTCAGCCTCCCTAGTAGCTGGGATTATAGGCACGCACCACCATGCCCAGCTAATTTTTTTTTGTATTTTTTAGTAGAGACGGGGTTTCACCATGTTGACCAGGATGGTCTCGATCTCTTGACCTCGTGATCCACCCGCCTCGGCCTCCCAAAGTGCTGGGATTACAGGTGTGAGCCACCGTGCCCGGCGATTCTTGAGGTGTTAAATTAGCTTGGGATCAGAGAATAGAGTTGAGCCCACTTTAGAAGCCAGCAGCTGTTCCTTCCAGGAGCTTCAGTAACCATCCTGTGTGATCCTCTTCCTCAGCTAGAAGATACCCTGAGCCTTGTGAAACGGATAGAGAGGACTGGCATTGCTGCCATTGCGGTTCATGGGAGGTGAGTGGTCACCTTTATAGTGACTGACTGCCAGGGAGGTCCTCACCTGTCTTAGTGATCCTTCCTTAATTGATCTGTCACCCCAAGTGACAGCCAATTTCTCTTTTACATATTCAGCCTACCTCTTCCTAGCTCTTTGACATCCTATGAATCTTGAGGGCAGGCAGACCCTGAATGGGCTTGCATTTGCCTTTGTTTCATTCATGGAGTGCCTGTTGTGGGTAGGTATTAAGGTTTAGAGATGCACTGAGACTAAGAAAGGAGAAACATCTCTACATCAGGATGTGTAAATGCTAGAGACTGAGTGATTTGCTCAAAATCATACCATGTAGCCAGTACATGGCGGAATTCTGACCTTCATGAGAAAACCAACCTCCCTTCCTCCCTCTCTTTCTCCTTCTTTCCCTCCCTCTCTCCCTCCCTCCATCCATCCTTTTTCTTCTTTCCTCTCTGTCTCTCTCTTTCTGTCTCGATGGTCTCACTCTGTCACCCAGGCTACAGTGCAGTGGCACAGTCTTGGCTCACTGTAATCTCTATCTCCTGGATTCAAGCTATTTTCCTGCCTCAGCTTCCCGAGTAGCTGAGGTGTGTTCCACCATGCCCAGCTAATTTTTGTATTTTTAGTAGAGACCAGGTCTCACCATGTTGGCCAGGCTGGTCTCAACGTCCTGATCTCAGGTGATCCACTCACCTCAGTTTACCAAAGTGCTGGGATTATAGGAATGAGCCACTGGGCCCAGCTTCAATTTCTTTTTGTTATATTGAACAATGACTTCTCCTTTGAATAATCACAGACAGATTGCTGTGTTTATTTGTTTTTCATTGTTGTTTTTCGAGAAAGTCTTGCTCTGTTACCCAGGCTGGAGTGAAGTGGCACAATCATAGCTCACTGCAGCCTCAAACTCCTGGGCTCAAGCAATCCTCCTGCCTCATCCTCCTGGTAGCTGAAACTACGGTGCATGCCACCATGCCTGGCTAATTTTTAATTTTTTTTTTGTAGTGATGGGATCTCCTTATGCTCCCTAGGCTGGTCTCAAACTCCTGGGCTCAAGTGATTCTCCTGCCTCAGCCCCACAAAGTGCTGGGATTACAGGCGTGAGCCACTACACCTGGCCTATTCTTTTAAAGGCTCTGCCTCTCTCTATTCTTTTTTCTTTTCTTTTTTTTTTTTTTTGAGACAGAGTTTTGCTCTTGTTACCCAGGCTGGAGTGCAATGGTGTGATCTTGGCTCACTGTAACCTCTGCCTCCTGGGTTCAAGCAATTCTTCTGCCTCAGCCTCCCAAGTAGCTGGGACTACAGGTGTGCACCACCATGCCCAACTAATTTGTGTATTTTTAGAGACGAGGTTTCACCCTGTTGACCAGGATGGTCTCGAACTCTTGACCTCGTGATTCACTCACCTCGGCCTCCCAAAGTGCTGAGATTATAGGCGTGAGCCACCATGCCTGGCCTAAAGGCTCTGCCTCTCTTGTCTGCATTTGTTGGACTGCCAGATATCACAATGACTAAACAATCCTTCTAGCTGTAGCTAATGTACTCTTTGCTGAGAGCTGAGGTTCTGAAGGTCACCCTTGGCTTGTCAGTTGTACTTGTTCCCTGTGTCCAGGGTGTACTTTTACAGAATCTCAGATGAGTAGACCTGGGCCAGAGTGACCTCTCTTCTCTAAGTGATGTTCCTTTGGGCTTAGGGGTCTTACAGGAAGAGCCCAGGTTGTTGATTGTGCTCTTACAGCATTTTTAGAGAAGGGAACCCATAACTCCCATTGTACAAAGCAGAGCAAAGCAGAGCTGCTTAGGACGAAGCCAGGAGGGAGGAGTACACACATGTACACAAATGCTTCTTCTCACCGGGCACGGTGGCTCACGCCTGTAATCCCAACACTTTGGGAGGCTGAGGTGGGCAGATCACAAAGTTAGGAAATTGAGACCATGCTGGTTAACATGGTGAAACCCCTTCTCTACTAAAAATACAAAAAATTAGCCGGGTGTGGTGGCAGGCGCCTGTAGTCCAGCTACTCAGGAGGCTGAGATAGGAGAATCGCTTGAACCCAAGAGGTGGAGGTTACGGTGAGCCAAGATAACGCCACTGTGTTCCAGCCTGGGTGACAGAGTGAGAATGCATCTCAAAAAATATACAAATAAATAAAATACTTCTTCCCAAGGCAGGAGGCTTTGGATTCAGACTCCCTGGTTTGAGATCCCAGCTCTGCTGCTTCTTAGCTGTATATCCTTGGGAAATCACTTAACCTTTCTGAGCATAACATTCCTTATTTGGAAATTAAGATAATTTCTACTTTATAGGGTTGTCCCAAGGCTTTTATGAGATTGTGAATATAAATCCTTGGCACAGTGCCTGGCATGTAGTATTCTCTCTCTCTCTCTCTTTCTGTCTCTCTCTCTCTCTCTCTCTCTCTCTCTCTTTTTGAGATGGAATCTCGCTCTGTCACCTGGGCTGGAGTGCAGTGGTGCGATCTTGACTCACTGCAACCTTTGCCTCCTGGGTTCAAGCGATTCTCCTGCCTCAGCCTCCTGAGTAGCTAGGATTACAGGCTCATGCCACTATGCGCAACTAATTTTTGTATTTTTTCTAGTAGAGATGGGGTTTCACCATGTTGGCCAGGCTGGTCTCAAACTCCTGACCTCAAGTGATCCACCCATCTCAGCCTCCCAAAGTGCAGGGATTACAGGTGTGAGCCACTCTGCCCAGCCAGTATTTTCTTTTCTTTCTTTTTTTTTTTTTTTTAAACCTGGTTATCTAGTTTCTGTGGAAGCCAGTATTTTCTTTTTTTGAGACGGAGTTTCGCTCTCGTTACCCAGGCTGGAGTGCAATGGCGTGATCTCGGCTCACCGCAACCTCCACCTCCTGGGTTCAGGCAATTCTCCTGCCTCAGCCTCCTGAGTAGCTGGGATTACAGGCACGCACCACCATGCCCAGCTAATGTTTTGTATTTTTAGTATAGACGGGGTTTCACCATGTTGACCAGGATGGTCTCGATCTCTTGACCTCGTGATCCACCCGTCTCGGCCTCCCAAAGTGCTGGGATTACAGGCCTGAGCCATCGCGCCCGGCAGAAGCCAGTATTTTCTTAGTAAAGGAAGCTATTATTTTTTACCAGTAGTTGGGAACACCGGAAAGACAGATTTGGTGAGTTTGAGGAAGCCCTTTCTGACTATCAAAGCTGTTAGGATGGGCTAAATCTGACCACTGGGGATGTAGGGAGACAGAGGTAGAGGCTAGGTTGACAGGGCCCTCTGAGGCCCTGTGGCCCTTGACCCTTTTGTTGAAAAGTATAGCACAGGGGTCATACTCAGACAAGAGCTGGACAAGGCTATCTGGTCGACTGTCTTGCCTGCTTTGCCTCTGAGCACAGCTCAGGTCAGGCCTCACATCAGCAGCCCTAAAACTCACTCATGCATAAGAACTTGCAGTTGACCTTGGAAGGAGGGGCCCCATTTTGTGGTCCTGCCTCCCTTGTGCCTTGGTGTGACAGCCATGGTCCGTGGCCTGCCCTGGGTGCGGGGCCTACCCTGTGTCAGGTGCCTCTCCCTAGGATCAGTTGTGCATCTTGGCTTTGGCATTGGCAGCTGTGTGGGAGTGGCCAGTCTGAGCAGCAGCAGCTGTTCCCAGTCCCTTGGAGAGGGCAGGGCTGGAACAGTAGGAGCAGCACTCTTATGGCCCTGTCCCTCTTCTCTGGCAGAGGCAAGGGGAAGGCAGCAGGGCAAAGCAACACGACCTTGGGAGCTAGGCCACTCACCTCACCCCCCATGCAGCCAGGCCTCACCTGCAGGCCTCCAAGAGCTGGACTTGCCATTTCAGCATCAAGCAGTGCTACTCCTGCCCGTCACAGTTCTTCTCCAGAGGTCAGGGAGAGCCATCCCCTGCCACCTGTCCTTGATGGCCACATGGCCACCTAGCCTTCCTGAGGTTCAGTGGGGGAGGACAGTAAGGTTTGGCTGAGGTAACCGTGTGTGAGTGGTGACATGGCTTTTGGTGCTCAGCCCTCAGCCCCATCTCTCTATCTCCAAGGAAGCGGGAGGAGCGACCTCAGCATCCTGTCAGCTGTGAAGTCATCAAAGCCATTGCTGATACTCTCTCCATTCCTGTCATAGCCAAGTAAGCCCCCTTTCTTCATCATGTACTCTGTGTCCCACAGAGCTAAGGGCCTGGTGGTAGCCAGGCCCAGCCTTCCCTAGAGTAAAAAGTTTTGGGGTGGTTTGGAAAGGGCACAGCTTCTCACAAGACCCCAGACCCTGTTGCTTCGGCTGCCACTTAAGACCCTCCCCTCTGCATGCCTGTCTCTGGACTGAGGCTGCCACCTGACTCCTGATGAAATGTATGGAGACAGAGCAGGGGATTCTTGGAGCAGCAGGCTGCGGGGAGGGCAAAGTATGACCTAACTGGGCCTCCTTCCTTCCTCTCGTAATCACCAAGGTGTCTGTTCCCCTGGCCAGGGTTTTGACTTAGCCCTCAGAGAACATATAAGTGGCCCATTCAGCTTGGGGGTTTTCCTGTAACCCCAATAGCCCAGTAATAGACCCATGTCTCCAGATGTGGGCTGGCTATAGCCACTGTTTTAGATGAGGGGCAAGGAAAGTAAATTTCCTGGATTAACTGTTAAGTGCTTGGCACTTTACATATATTATCTCAGTTAGTGCTCCTAACTTCATAATGGGATATGGATTCTTTTTTTTTTTGTCCCCTCCCCTTTTATTTTTGCCCCCTCGCCCCAGGATATGGATTCTAATCTCCACTTTACTGAAGCTCTGATAGCTGAAGGGACTTGGCCAAATTCACATTGTTAATCAGTGGCAGATCTGAGAGTTGCCTTTTTCTGAAAATGCCGTGATAGGTTCCATGACTGGGACACCCCTAAGCCTCCTGTTGCTTTTCAGTGGAGGATCTCATGACCACATCCAACGGTATTCGGACATAGAGGACTTTCGACAAGCCACGGCAGCCTCTTCTGTGATGGTGGCTCGAGCGGCCATGTGGAACCCATCTATCTTTCTCAAGGAGGGTCTGCGGCCCCTGGAGGAGGTCATGCAGAAATACATCAGATATGTACGTCTCTGTACTTTTTCAAAACAAGCATTTCTCACTGTCTACCACATTCCTGCAGAGAGCACTTTGTGTGAGCCTCCAGCGCTTGCTGTTCCTCTCCTTTTCTTTTTAGCTCATGTAGTGTAGCTGCACTAGCTCACTGCTGTATTGGGTCTCCCCAGGTGTGGTGCTGAGAGAGGATGCTGGGGGGACATGCCGCTACCATTTCCTAAAGCTTTCAGAGGTTTGCAGGTCATAGCAAGGACCTTTTAGATCCAGGATGCTGTTGGAGCCCCAAACACATGATATATGTCTTTCTTTTTCTCACACGCTGCACATACAAAGGCACATTCACTTGAACTGTGGGTTCTGCATCACTGAAGGCATGTGTGCCTATAGGTTGGCTCAGGAGCAGCCACAGCCAGGAGGAGCCATTGAGAAATTTCTCACCTGATTTGATTCATCTGTCAAAATCACTTCTAAAATTTTTCTTTTGCTGATTCCCTGAATTCTTTAACCATAACCCTCTACTTAGGGAACAGCTTTTTTTTTTTTGAGATAGGGTCTTGCTCTGTTGCCCAAGCATGAGCATAGTGGCGTAATCATGACTCACTGCAGTCTTGACCTCTTGGACTTAAGTGATCCTCCTGCCTCAGCCTTCCAAGTAGCTGGGACTACAGCATGTGCCCACACACTCAGCTAATTTTTTAAAAAAATTTTTTTATGGAGATGAGGTCTTTCTATGTTGCTCAGGCTAGGACTGGCCTTTTCTAAACCACTTTCTTCTTATTGAGAGGTCGATGGTAGTGCCAATGACATTTCCCTATAAAAAGAAAATGAAGAGTTCACTTGCTTTGTCTCTTTGGCACAACTCTGGAACTCTGTGGGGCTATGATCAGCTGCACATGTGTACAGGGAGAGGCAGTGAGTGGTCCTGAAATTTTTCAGTGAATTGAGTCGAGCAGAGGGTACAGCCATTGCCCAGAGCAGAGTTCCATCCCTTCTTCAGTCCTAGGGTCCATTCCTGTGTGGGAGTGCCTGTGGCTGCCATGGTATGTGAGTGTTCCCATAGCTATGCAAGCTGGGATGGTAAGATGCTCTGAGGTCTGTGTCCAGAGCTGGGCAGCCTTTGTCCTATCTCCTGTTTAATGCTGCAGCCCTCACCCTTGGTTCTGATGTCCTGCTGGGCAAGTTGGTGACCACCAGCTCTCCGATGGTCTGGGATAGCTCCATGTCAAGGGAGGGCTTGCCCCAGCCCAGGTCAGCTGTCCAGCTTTTTGGCCAGCTGGCAAGTCTGTGGCCAAGAAGATATGCTGAGCAGTGCTGAGCTTGCTCACTGGGTGAAAGGTGATGTTATCATTCCTGCTGAGCTGTCCCTTGGCAGCTCCTCAAGAGGGTGTGTTATCACAGAGAAAGGGAGTGGCTTTCAAGCATAGGCAGGGCTGCTTCTGGTCCAGCCAGGTACCTTCTTCCCAAACAAGCTGAATCAAGGACTTGCCGCTCCCGGACTTGCCACTTACTTCCGACTTTGTCCTGAGCATGCCGTGGCACCTTTCCAGGCACTGAAGTCATAGGCCCAGGTGGAGTTACTAGAGCAGCATAGTGGGTGGGAGATGGGAGGGTGTCCTGGAGGGCTGGGGAAGGCCACCTTCACCCACTGCTGCTCTCCTGCCCTGCCCCCAGCCAGCCGGCTTCCAGTGGGTGTCCCTGGCAGTCATCTTGCCTCCCTGAGCCTTTGTTTCATAGTCTGTGGAATGATGGTGACAGTTACACCTCACACTTGTATAGATAAATGTAGTGATGAGTAACATATGTGAACTAAATGGTGCTGTGCTTTACCCATGTAGAGGGAAGTTAGAGGCTAATCAAGATGTGGAAGGGAAGGTCCCCTTTCTGGTGAGAAGGAATAGAAGAATCTCACCCCTGTCCTGGCACTGGAGCTTCCATGCCAGAATTTGGTGTTTCCCCTCCCTACCCTGGAAGATACTTGGCAGTAGGTCCTCTGTGGTGGCTGAAGTAGGAGGGGGCTTTGGCATTTTGGGATCCCAGTTAGGCTGTCCAGGAGAGTGTGCTCCTGACCATGGGCCTTGGCTGTGATCCAGCTTTGTACCACTGTCTGGAGAAGTAGATGGCCAAGGTCGGGGTGACTCTATTTTTTGTTGTTGTTGTTGTTTAGAGACAGGGTCTTGCTCTGTTGCCCAGGCTGGAGTGCAGTGGCATGATCATAGCTCACTATAGCCACAAACTCATGGGTGCAAGCAACTCTCTTGCCTTAGCCTCCCTAGTAGCTATGATGACAGGTGTGTGCCAACATGCCTGGCTAATTTTGTTTTTAATTTTTGTAGAGTTGAGTCTTAAGTTGCCCAGGCTGCTCTTGAACTCCTAGCCTCAAGCACTCTTCCTGCATTGTTCTCTCAGAGTGCTGGGATTACAGATGTGAGCCACTGCTCCTGGCCAGCGGTGGTTCTTCTTATGGGGCTCCCATTTCCTTGGCTGTACACACAACTCTGATGCCTTCTTGGAACCCCTTTCCCTGCCATCAGAGCATAGCTCAGGCCTTAGAGCCTGCCTGAGCATCAGGTGAGTCATTTCTTCTCTCAGGCGGTGCAGTATGACAACCACTATACCAACACTAAGTACTGCTTGTGCCAGATGCTACGAGAACAGTTGGAGTCTCCCCAGGGAAGGTTGCTCCATGCTGCCCAGTCTTCCCGGGAAATTTGGTAAGAGGCACAATGAGATGTCCATCTGTCCTTGTGTACATTGCCCAGGTTTGACTTTGAGCCCTAAGCTGACTCCATTAGGGGACCAGGGACACAGCTTCTGGATGTGGATGTAGAGGAGTGGAGTGATGGTACAGCTTTGCCTCCCAGAAGAGGATTCTTTGAAAGCTTTGAAATGTCCCATCCCTGGACGGATCAGCAGAGTTCTGGGAACTAGGGTGCTAGGAGGTTAGAATAATGCAAAGGAAGGGGCTTTTCCATAAATGGGATGGTCACAGGCCAGGCCACCAGGAACCAGTGGTCATAAGAATTGGGCTGTAGAAAGGAACCTCTGGCTTGAGCCTGCAGTCACACCCATAACCCTACAGTTTGAGAGGCCACCCCTTGGTCCTCTAGATCAGGTGCAGCTCTAGCTCAGATGGTTGACACTTAAGGCCCTTCACAAGCTGGCCTAGCCACTGCTCCCACAGCTCCCTGTCTACCTGTCTGCTTCCAGACCTCCACACCTGTGTTTGTAGTGGGTCCTCTGCCTGGAAGGCTCTCTCCCTGTCACGTGAGTGATCTATAGCCTCCCTCTTTCATAGATGCCTTTCTGAACCACTTTTGCCATCAGGGATCCATCTTCGCTTGAGTCTTCCAGTCCTTAAGATGTTTCCTAGAAGGAAAAAACCCTTGCTAGAACCCTCCTTCCACCCTTGGCTTATGGCATTGGTTCAATCCCTACCCCACATAGCTTAATCAGTTTGACCCAGGTGCTGTGTAAGCTCAAGAGAAGAAGTATAACTCTGTAGCTCTGGGTGGTACCTCAGTGTCAGCTGAAAACCATGTATAACTGCTCGTGGCTGGGCAGGAAGTAGGGAACCACTCAGTGGTCAGGCCTCTGTCTCTTCCTCCCATGGGCCCATGTGCTTGATCAGCATTGGTCAACTCAGTCATGGCTGGCTGGGGACACCATCTGTGTGCTCCTCCTCAGGAGAGAGACTGCAGCTGGTGGGGGTGACCTTTGCAACCTTTGCTACCCAGCCCAGCTTCCCTCCAGTGTTCACGCTTGGGTTCACATTCATTTTCCATCTTCTGGTCCAGGGTGATCCCAGGGCTGGGCAGAAGGCACATTCTGATGACCATGCCCCGGTGATGGTGTGGTGTATATGGTAGAGGAGTTGCTCAGTGGTGGGGCCCTGGGTTTCTGCAGTAGCCTGGATGCTGGCTCCACTAAAGTGTTTGCCCTGATCTGCTTCTTCCTCTTTAGTGAGGCCTTTGGCCTTGGTGCCTTCTATGAGGAGACCACACAGGAGCTGGATGCCCAGCGGGCCAAGCTCTCAGCCAGGACTTCAGAGGAGACTGGGGAGCCAGCTGAAGATACCTCTGGTGTCATTAAGATGGCTGTCAAGTTTGACCGGTAGGTCTCCAGCTTGACTTCAGCTTGGGCTGGGGCCAGCACCCTTGGGGTTCCACTGGGCCAGCAAACTGTCTGCTATATGTGCTTAATGTCAAACGTAGAGACCACAGGTCTTCTTGGTTTGGAAACTTGTTCTTAATTTGCAGCATCCCAGAGAAGGTGCTTACAGGGAAGATAGTTCCTGAAAGCCTATCCCAAGTTCAGTGACTGAACTCTACTTTTTCCCTAACTCCCTCCCACAACTTAGGGCAGGGGGAACTTGTCTCCTGTTCCTGAAAGTCTGTGCTTTTCCAGGGCCCTGAGGAGCTGGCTGCTGCATGGAGCTCCTCAACAGCAGAAGGACCCTAGCCCTCATTTGGCTCTGCAGTCCCTGCCCACACCCAGTGCCCCTCACCAGCCCTGTGTGCCCTTTCAAGCTGCTTATGCCTCAGATTGTGACCCAGCTTTGAATGGTGCCCTATTCTGGGATCTGAGCCTTTCTCCAGTCCCCAGGACCAGACAGGAGCCAGTCTTGTCTGGCAGAGGTGTGGGGGGTTGGGGCAGTAGGAATAGCTGTTGGGCAGTCAGATGGCAGGGAGAGTTCCAGCTGGGAAGTTGGAATATGTCCCCTCCTACCGTGTCACTGTGTTACCTTGTCAGACTGACTCTGAAACCAGATTCCATGCGTCTGTGGCCTCAGCAGATGATCCTGACCCTTGGCAGGCGTAATCAGGGTGGGTGCTGAGCAAGATCCCCAAGACCATTGTCTGGTCACCTCCATTGCACACCTCCACCCACTCCCTACTGATCTTGTCTTGAGCGTCAAGCTTCCTTCTTGGATGTTGAAGATTATTTTTCCAGGCTGGACCTCAGAGTATTGGGAGTTCATTCCCCCTTTTCCCCACAATTTCCCAAACATGCCAAAATTTATCTTCCCTTTAAATAAAACCCAGGTCCAAGCTGCTGGTGGGACAGGAATGGGAGCCTATGGGAGTAGGTATAGAAGCCTTAAGGCAGCAGCTTGGTATCAGTTCCTCTCGTTTCTGCTGCTCCTATCAGGGGCTGAGTAGTGTGCTGACTGAGGGAGTGGTGATGGTGGGTGAGCCCCAACTGCTTCCCTTCCTTTCCCCAGGAGAGCATACTCAGACCAGATCACCCCCAAGATGTGCCTGCTAGAGTGGTGCCGGAGGGAGAAGTTGCCACAGCCCATGTATGAAACGGTAAGTCCCTGGCTGTGTCTTGCCCTGCAGCCAGCTATGGCGCTCCCACAGCTTATGCCCTCAACTTGCCAGGCTAGAGCCTGGCCTTGCCCTCTGTAGGCATGGAGAAACTGCTGGTGGCCAGTTCAGTTGCTGATAGCCCCCACCCTCTTATAGTGGCCTGTAGTCCAATTCAGCCAGACATGTCTTTTTTTTTTTAAATGAGTCTAATTAGTATTTTTCTTTTTTTTTTTTTTTCTTTTTTGAGACGGAGTTTCACTCTCGTTACCCAGGCTGGAGTGCAATGGCGCCATCTCCGCTCACCGCAACCTCCGCCTCCTGGGTTCAGGCAATTCTCCTGCCTCAGCCTCCTGAGTAGCTGGGATTACAGACACGTGCCACCATGCCCAGCTAATTTTTTGTATTTTTAGTAGAGACGGGGTTTCACCATGTTGACCAGGATGGTCTCGATCTCTTGACCTCGTGATCCACCTGTCTTGGCCTCCCAAAGTGCTGGGATTATAGGCTTGAGCCACCGCGCCCGGCCCTAATTAGTATTTTTTTTTTTAGAAATGGGGTCTTGCTTTGTTGCCCAGGCTGGTCACAAACTCCTGTGTTCAAGTGGTCCTCCCTCCTCAGCCCCCCAAAGTGCTGGGATTATAAGGCATGAGCTAGCCAATATTAATTTTTTAAAAATTTTAATTAATAAATTTTTTTTTTTTTTTGAGAAAGAGTCTCACTCTGATGCCTAGGCTGAAGTGCGTTAGTGTGATCTCAGCTCACTGCAATCTCCACTTCCCAGTTCAAGCAATTCTCCTGCCTTAGCCTCCCAAGTAGCTGGGATTACAGGCACACACCACGATGCCTGGCTTATTTTTTGTGTTTTTAGAACAGACAGGGTTTCACCATGTTGGCCAGGCTGGTCTCAAACTCCTGACCTCAGGTTATTCACCTGCCTCGGCCTCCCAAAGTGCTAGGATTACAGGCATGAGCCACTGTGCTCGGCCCAATTGGATCAGGCCTCAGCCAGTGGAGCACAAAATTGGGCCCCAGATGTGGTGCCCCTGGGATGGAAACTGTGAGATAGTCTTGCTTCACTTCCTTTGGTCTTCACGGCCATGCCTTCCTTAGGCTGCTCTGCCTCGTCTGGAATCCTCTTCTGGCCTCGAGGCTTATACCTTCTGGGGGTTGTGTCTGTCCCTCTGCTGGCCTCTGAGTCTAGGGTTTGGTGGGTGAGGCCTCCTTTTCTAAAACAAATCTAACCTCTGTTTCCTCAAGTCAGCAGCTCCCCAGCGTGTCTGCAGAATCAAGCCAGCACCTCAGCATAGAGCCTGAGACCCTCCCATGTGCCTCTCTCCTTCCAGTTTCATGCCCGCAGCCCTTTGCCCCAGCCATGTCATCTGGTCCCTCTGCCAGGTGTGCCTTCTCTTCTATTAGCTTGTTCCTTCTCACCCTTTTGGCATCTGGTGACTCCTTGTTTTGGGGACCTGGCCTATCCAGCTGTCAGCAGGAGGCTCTGTAGTCATGTGCAGCTAACGGCTCTGCTGGCCTTTGCTCAGGTCCATGACAGCTTCAGACACTTGAGGTCGTTGTCTATTTGTACATCTGCCTTTCTGCACTGCTTGGGAGGAGCATGTGATATAGGCAGCCTTCATTTGACTTAGGTTGGAAATACTTCCTTTTATTTGCCTTTAATTTGACCCCAGCAGGTTGGCTTCCAGGGCTCATTTCTCTGGCCCTGTGTTTCCTTTAATCTTTGTACCAGGTTCAACGCCCTGTAGACCGCCTGTTCTCTTCTATTGTCACCGTTGCTGAACAAAAGTATCAGTCTACCTTGTGGTAAGTTTCCTCATCATAGGGAAGGAGGATTGGGGTAAGGAGGAGAGTGGGCATTCTGCCCATCATCCAGCATTGTCCTAGGAGGGTTGGGCAGATAGTATATGTGGGCAAGTGGCATCCCTGGATGGTGACCCCTTACTCAGTTTTGGCAGAATCTGCCAAGGGTGTGTAGAGTCAGGCCTCACAGCCCCGGACCCTGCCTACATGCCTTATTGCCCTCTGCCTCATCTGCCCAGGGACAAGTCCAAGAAACTGGCGGAGCAGGCTGCGGCCATCGTCTGTCTGCGGAGCCAGGGCCTCCCTGAGGGTCGGCTGGGTGAGGAGAACCCTTCCTTGCACAAGCGAAAGAGGGAGGCTCCCGACCAAGACTGTGGGGGCTCCAGAGCTCAGGAGCTAGCACAACCTGGGGAGCTGTGCAAGAAGCCCTTTGTGGCCTTGGGAAGTGGTGAAGAGAGCCCCCTGGAAGGCTGGTGACTACTCTTCCTGCCCTAGTCACCCCTCCGTGATCTGGTGCTAAGGTGGCTGTGGATACCATAGCATGAACCAGATGCTGTTGAACAATTTGCTGGTCTTCCCTGGCAGGAGTTAGATGTTCCAGCGGGGTCATCAGCCTGGAGCATGGACCAGGGGCCGCCCAAGGGTGGATCCTGATTCCTTTGGTGGATCTGAGTGACAGAGTCAAGTTCCCTTTGAAAACAGGAGCTTTTCAGGTGGCACCTCCCCAACCTGACATTGGTACTGTGCAATAAAGACACCCCCTACCCTCACCCATGGCTGGCTGCTTTAGCCTTGGGCATCTTCATAAATGGGCTTGTGTACTGGCATGATTATTCTACTCCCACCCTCTGTGCAGAGCTAAAGCTTCCCAAAGCCTATCTCCTGCCCATCTCTCTGGGTCTGGTGGAGGTGGGAAATGGGGTATCACTGGACTGGAGCCAAGCCAGGAAGGCCCAAGAAGCTCATTCTACTGACTGTACACCTAAGGCACTGGGCATCAATTGTCTGTCCTGATGAGAGGTGATATGGGATCTGGAGGAAGGACCAGGGCAACTGGTGCCCCAGTAAGGGACTAGTCCAGTGGGGTGGGGAGTGTTGGTCTGATCCCCAGAGTCTTCTTTAAGCCTGACAACTGCCTGGAGCTCAGACCTGATGAAGTGCCTACCCTGGGCAGTGGGGCAGTGGGGCAGTGGGGCAGTGAAGGCTGCTGACAACAGCAATTTGGGGCCCTTATGTTTGGCAGATCACACCACACAGTCCCTCCCGTCCCCCGCCTTCCTCATCCCACTTGGGGCGGAAGGAAGTGGCAGATTCTCTTTAATTTCCTCCTGGCAGTGAGAAGCAAACAAACGGCTACCGCATCTCATGGGTCCTCCCCCGCTTACTGGGAGGGGCGTTCTGACCAAAGGTCCCTACCCTGTCCTGCCCCCGCTTCCTCAGCTGTAAACATGCTGCTTCTCATCCCTTTTTCCAGGTTCTATTGGTGTGGTGGGGAAGGCAGGATTCCCCTCTGGGTCAAGGCTGTATCTCCCACATCTCCCCTGTGTCAGAGCCTCACTGTTTTGTGGCAACTTAACACAGGATCAGGCACCTGTGCCAGCCAGCAGCCCCTGCCCTGCTGGCCTCTGAGTCTAGGGTTTGGTGGGTGAGGCCTCTGTCTCAGTCCCAGCACTGTCCCCCTCCCTGCTGCCACCCACAATTGCCTTTCTGTGTGCAGATAAGGATACCACACTACCCACTGCCTCCCAGAGCCATTGCTGTTTGACTTGGGCAACTCACTTCAACTCCTCTCTGTCCTGAGGGCCCTCCTCTGAGAAGGGATCAGCTGTCCTCTGCCTGTGTGAGGCTGACTGGAGGACAATAGGCTGGCCCTTTGATAGGACATTGTATGGTTAATGGGGTCACTCCATGCCAGGGTACCCTAACTGACTTCCCAGACCAGTGCTCCTGGAGAAAGGGCTCTATCCAGGAGAAAGACTGAGGGTTGGTCCAGTCTCAGTCACTAAGCTTTAGGCACAATTACTTTCTTTATTTGTTTATAGAGATGGTGTCTCACTATGTTGGCCAGGTTTATCTTGAACCCTTGTCCTCAAGCAGTCCTCCCGCCTCACCCTCCCAAAGTGCTGGGATTACAGGCATGAGCTACTGCACTTGGCCTATTTCTGATTTTTCATACTAAAAACAATCTCAGTCAAAATGCCTCCTTTGGCTGGGTGTGGTGGCTCACGGCTATAATCCCAGCACTTTGGGAGGCTGAGGTGGGCAGATCACTTGAGCTCAAGAGTTCAAGACTAGCCCGCTGGGCAACATACCAAAACCCCGTCTTTACAAAAAATATAAAAATTAACTGTGTGTGGTGGCAGGTGCCTATAGTTCTAGCTACTCAGGAGGCTGAGGTGGGTGGATCTCTTGAGCTCAGGAGGTTGAAGCTGCAGTGAGCTGTGATGACACCACTGCATTTCAGCCTGGGTGACAGAGTGAGACCCTGTCTCAAAAATACATAAATAAAAAACAAAACAAAATGCCCCCTTTGCCTTTTCTTATACTCCAACTGGAACTGGTCAGAAAGAAGCTGCAGTGGCCCCTCCCAAGTCACTGAGTCCTAAGATCTGCCTCCCCTGTGGAACTGGGCTTTGATTTCAGGCCACTTCTCCCACCAGTATAGTTTCCCTGGGGAAGCCCCTCCTCTGGCAGGGTCAGGTTCATTTCTGGGCTCTGGGGAAGGAGAGGCAGGGATATAGGCATGCTATTAAGATAGAGGCTGGAATGTGGGGGCTTTGAGGGCCCTGGGAAGCACTAGGGAGAGAATCCTTCACAGAGGAGGAAGGTGGGGCAGGTCTAGTATATATTCTGTGACTGAGGATGTCTGGCAGGGATCTTGGTTGAATACATTGGTCCTCAAATAATCTCACTTTAGCAGACCTCAGTGTTGTCTTTCCTGGTCTCAAAGTGATCTGCCTAAGGATGGGACTGACTGGCGGGGGAGGGACAGTCAGGCCTGAAAGCCTTGTCCTTGTTCTCACCGTGTCCACCTTAAATTTGGCCACTTAGACTCCCAGACTTCTCCCTGGGCTAGTAGCCACAATACTTACTCATCCATTCCAGCTAGCTTGATTGAGGATTTCCCCTTAGCTCATCACATTTGGGGGACAAATGGTTTTGATATGAGCATGAGAGGGAAGGATAAGGGTGGAGAGGGTGGCAGGTCTCTCAAAGGCCACAGCAAAAAGCCTGGGCTGTGTGCAAAGAATCTCTTCCACCTGCAGTCCTGAACCCTTGGGTCCTTCCAGGTGTTATTCTGCCTAGAACTCTTTTGTGGCTCTCTGAGACTGCTCTCTGGACCAAGTCCAAACTCCTCAGTATTTGAGAACAAAGTGCTGACCATGTCTTCTCAGCACCCTGTGCTGACTTCAGCAACTAACTTTCTGTGATTGTAGTTGGCTAGGCAATCCCTTATCCCAGATTGGGAGCTACTCAAAGGCAGTCCTGTGTCCCCTATGGCCACCTTGGCATGAGGCTGGGAGCAGACACAGAAGAATCCAACAAGAGCTTGGGGCAAGTGGGATGTTTGGCATGGAGAGGAAGAAGTTTTTTAAACTCTGAATTTCTTCAAAGGTTCCTGTTTTGCATAATGTGGAACAAGGCTAAACTATACCTCCTGGCTCAGAGAGCACTGAAGAACTACAACAATGGGTGCTTAGGGTCTGTCCTGTGACAGCTGATGATAAAGATGGCTTTCCCTAATTCCCAGGCTTGGCTAGCATTCACACAGGGATAGTGGTTTTATGGTGATTCCTTGCCCTTGTCCACCCCGGGGTTCTACCTACTGCACTGGTCCTGTGGGCCTCCTGGTTTCACAGGGCTCTCAGAGGTCTGGAGGTGGGCCCAGATGACCTGCAGGAGCTTTGGAACTGCCTGAGGAAGAGCTCATGGGGGGACGTCCTGGTCTTAGCTGGGGCAAAGGGCTGAAAGAGTATGTATATATCGGTGTGTGTGTGTGGGCAGGCCCCTTCACAGCCTACAGAGCTCCCAGCCATTGCTGACTTTCTTACACACATGGTGACTCTTCCTGCAGTTGGTGCCAATCCCTGTCCCAGCCCTCACCATTCCTTGGCAGCTTCTCAGTTTACCCCAGGCCAAAAACCGTCCCTACAATGTAACCTCTTCTAAGGGTTCTCCAGTGCTTAGTGGCTAGGAACACAGATACATAGCTGAGCATTTGATGAGTGGGTGAATTTTTCAAGCCATCTATACTTTCTTTGTGGTCTTTTCTTAGTGGAGGGGCTGACTGGCCCAGGGTCTCCCTCCTGCTTGCTGTCTGGTCTGATGATCGCTGATCCCATGGTTTAGGTGAAGTCATGTCTGCAGGGACTTCAGATGAGCTGGCCAACCCTCTGGGACCTTTTACTGTATCAGGATCCTGTTACATGTGGTACAAATAGGTGGGCCAGCAACCTGCTTAAGGCAGAGGGTGCCAGAGCTGATGTGGCATTTGGGCCCCAAGTTCCACACTCAGGCCCTCAAGGTTGTAGATTTGCAGGCAGGACAGGTTATTGGGAAGGATGTTCCACTAACCTAATGCTCGTTGTTCCCTCTCCTTCACCACTATTATCTTCTCCCCTTAACTTCATTCACCCTTGCCCCAGTCAAATCCAGTGATCCGCCCAGAATTCTGGCCATGTAAATCCCCTGCTCTGAGTCCTTCCACGGCTCCCTACTGCCATCAGCATAACGTTGAGACACTTTGCAGTGGCCTGCTGCATTCTGCCCACTCATCTGACCCCACCTTTGGCTTCTGCTCACTGCAGGTACTTTTTGGTCTCCAAGTCTTTGGAAATCTGTTCTCTGCCTGGAATGAAACTTGCTCCCTTCTTGCCTGTCTCTCCAGTTCCTACTCACCCCTGTCAAGGCCCTGCAGCCAGCGGGCTTACGAACTGTCTCTGAGTTCTGGCACAACCCTCATTTCTTTGCACAGTAATTATAGATTTGCTGGTCCCCCTCCCTTACACCTGAAGGGAGACTTAATGTATTAATTTATCTCTGAATTCCTAGGAACAGCACAAGTACTGGTACAGAACACTGGGCGGAAATGAACCAATCCAAGATGAATGTCTTGGATGCTCTGGTTTGGCTCCCTCTAGGGCTCCCTGGTAGCTCAAGTGTCAGTCCAGACATTGAGACCTCTGCAAGAGGCTTCCCTTTACCCTCTCTTCCCACTGGCTTCTGTGGGTGGTGTGGAAATGTGCTGTAGGCCTTGAGAATGGCATTTCTTTTTTTCTTCTTCTCTAACAACCTATTGTATCCTGAGAGGGCAGTATTTCTTGGGTGCACCTGCACCCAAGTCTCTGACAGCTCCCTGGGTTCCTCCAGCAACACGCCTCTAGGGATGCTATGCCCTGTGGGCCTTGTGCCCGGGGCACGGAGCTAGGGGAGGCGGTCACCCTGCCTCTCTTACCTCCCCGTCCACCTGTGCCTCAGTGGAACCTTAGGTAAACAAGCCAGGCTCCCAGTCCCCAAGGACGGCCTCCACCCCAGACTCCAGGAGGAGGCATCTTGGGCCATCTTGGAAAGGCAAGCTTGCTCGGGAGGGGCAGATCACGAAAAACAGTTCTTTAGGTAGTGTCACTTCCTCTTCACTGCCAGCCACCCAATTTGGGCGGCTCCATCCTTCCCTCTTTCATGGATATGCACCAGGATGCAGAGATCACAGAGCCATGATTGGCGCGAGCTCACAACGGGCTTTCCCGCTCGGTCTACTCAACTTCCAGCAAGGGACAGGCCCTGCCCGTCGGTCTTCGCCGAGGCCTCAAACGCGCATGCTGTCAAGGAATCGGCTGCGGGGGCTCGCTAGTGGGGACAAAGGCCCAGCCGCCTAGGCGCAGGCTCCGCCCCGCAGAGGGTCGGCCTGCGGCGACCGTGAGTTCAGACTCCGGATCCATAGCGCAACCTATCTTCTTCGGTTCCGCCCCAACCTAGCTGGACTCTCAGTCTGGTCCCCGCCCTTTGGAGAGTCAGACATTAAAGTTGAGGTGAGGGGGATGAGGATGTGGGCGGCGTCCAGGTAAACCAGCCGGGCCCTGATACCGTCCCTAAAGCCAGCCATCAGGAGTAACACGAGGCGGCCCCACATCACCGAACCCAGAACCTCAGTGCTTCGGCACCCCTTCCTCGTCGTGAGCTCCGCCCAATGAGGAGAGGGGTCTTCTCCATTGGCCAGTGATGGTCCCCTATCCAAGCAGAGCAATCGGCCTTATACCCCATAGTTTAGAAGGAAACGCCATGGGAATACAGGCCAAACTACAACTCCCGAGGGGTAGCTGGGCTCTTCGGGGGCCGCGTGTTCACGTGACTTCCTTCTATCGGAGACCGAGTTACGCGATAGGCCTGTGAGGGGGCGGGGCCCAGCCCCTGCTGGCCGCGCTAGTAGCCAATAGGCAGCCGGGCCGGATGGGCGCGCGTAGGGGGCGGGGCCGGGCGCGCGGCAGGGTGCGGGAGCGCGCCCGCGGCGGCGGTGGCGGCGACTGTGGCGGCGGGGGGGGGGGCGGGGAACGTTGGCTAAGGCGACAGTGGCGGCTTAGGCACTGGCGGCGGGCGGCTGCGGCTCCTGGTGCTGCTCGGCGCGCGGCCGACTCTCTAGTTCGGAGCGGAACGCTCGGCGTCGAGGGCCCCGCCCGGAAAGTTTGCTGTGGAGTCACGACCTCCTGGCCCGCGCGGCCCGGCATGAAGCGGCGCTGAGGAGCTGCTGCCGGAGCTGCTGCCGCTGCCGCCGCCGCTGCCGCCGCCGCCGCCGCCGCCGCCGCCGCCGCAGCAGCAAGCCGCCGCCACCTGAGGAGGAGCCGCAGCACCCTGGGCCACGCCGATGACTACTGCAAACTGTGGCGCCCACGACGAGCTCGACTTCAAACTCGTCTTTGGCGAGGACGGGGCGTCGGCGCCGCCGCCCCCGGGCTCGCGGCCTGCAGGTGGGTGCCGGGCCAGACGGGAAAGAAGAGCGACCCCTCTTCTCGCTCGCAGGATCTCTCGCCCTCTCCCTGTTCCCTTGGATGACCGGAGACCGATAACCCCGAGTGTGTGCGCGTGCGTGTGCGTGTGTGTGTGCGCGCGCGCGCCTGAGTGTGGTGAGTTAAAAACGGATTTAAATCTCTGAGGAGGCGTGTGGGTCGCTGCGACGTGGAAGTGGTGGCGGGCTTGGCTGAAAGCAAACTAGTGGGGAACTTGACTCCGGGACGCTCGGGGTTTGGAGGCCCAGGGTCCGGGCTGCTGCCCAAGTGGCGTCTGGTTGTCCCTGCTTTGCCAGTGTGTTGCAAGGAAAATGTCCCTGTAAAGTGTAAGCGCACTGGGTTTTTCATCTATTCTAGGTTGTTTCTTGAAATTTTCGTTTGAAAGATGCTTATTTTTCAACAATAGGACCCCTCTAAAAATCACGAACGTATTTAAGCCTACTTTGCTAGGAGAGTAATGCTTTCGCGTTAACGTCCACTTGTGCAAGTTTATGGCCCACAGTTAATTCGAAGTGTAACTGTAACGGGATTTTTCTGGAAACGTAATTTCTTTACTTGAATAAAGATTTTTTTTTAAATGGTTGCTTTTTTTCCATAATTTTCCTAGAAATTCTACAAGTTGATTTTTGCTTAAAGAAAAACTTCTTGGAAGATATTTTAAAGGAAATCTTGAATTGGGAAAGCTGGGCACCATAATGCTTGCACGTCAGACCAATCAGGAAATAGAAACAGGATGACTGGGGAGTTAGAGCTCTTTTGTGACCTGGTTTGGAATACGGTGGTTCATTAAGTTCAGTGTCCCTATTACATATGCATGCGAACTTCAGAAAGGAAATGGATAAGAGCAATCCCTATTTTTTCTTGCCTGGTGTGAGGTGAATTCCTTAATGTTCATGTTGATGTTCAATAGACTGTTCTGGAGAGTTGCGTTGTAAAACATACCTGAGTCCTGGAGTTCCCCGATAGTTTGCTTCCAGCCAAGCCCGCCACCACTTCCACGTCGCAGGTACCCACATGCTTCCTCAGCGATTTAAATCCATTTTTAACATACCTGAAAGTGAGGCATGAGGATCCTCTTTTGGTACTTGTTTTATCGGTCCTTTCACAGGCTAGATGCCTTTTCAGTGTAATACATAATTCATAATAGTTATGTGTTGGCTGCCTTTATTTTCAACTCCATTAACATAATTCGAGCGCCTATTACATTGAACCGTTGTTACTGATCTTGTAGTGTTACGATAATGCAGAGGACTGAGGCTCCTTAAAGAGTTTGGGAAATAGTTGGAGGAGACACATAGTCTAAGTAATAACTGTGCTACTAGGAAGTCTGTGAATGGTGATGCATTTTATAGTAAAGAAACAGGAAAAGTGGCATTTGTGGAGAGTGTAGCATTGAATTGTACCTAGATTATCAGGACTTGAAAGAAAAACAACTTGTTTGAAATTTTTTATTGTAAAAAAGATAAATAGTTGAATGTCAGCAAACTTTTATTGGGCATAAATTGATTAGAACACATTATATACCAAATATGTGATGGGTAGGGGTGTTAACCAAACATATGAATAATAAAGGAATTGAGTATAAGTAGTAATTGTATATACAACCAAAATATTGAATAACATTTAAAAGCTATGAAAATGCTTTTTAAATGGTCTTTACACAAAAGCCATTTTGATATTAAAATAGGTCTAAAAGGAGTTAAAATCAGTATATCTTGATTTATAACTGAAATTTCCAAAGGTAAATATCAGCAGATTGTGACAAAAAGTCCACTTTAAAATATTCAAGCTGGTAATTTTTTTTACAAGTTTTTTTCCAATATTAAGGCAAAATACACATGAAAAAAAAAACCGTCTTAAAGTGAACAATTTAGTGCATTCGGTGTTGTGCAGCTACTGCTTCGGTCTAGTTCTGAAACATTTTCATCCGAAGGAAAACTCAGCACCCATTTAACAGTTGCTCCCCATTTTCTCTTCCCTCCCCACCACAACCCCTAGCAGCTACCAGTCTGGGATCTGTCTCTGTGGTACCTATTCTGGATATTTTATATAAATAGGATAATATATGTGAATGTTTGTGTCTGACGACCTCATTCCTTTCTGTGGTTGAGTAATATTCCATCGTGTGTGTGTGTGTGTATAAAGGAACACAATTTGTTTACCGTTGATGGACATTTGGGCTTTTTCTGCCTTTTGGCTATTGTGAATAGTGCTGCTATGAACACGTAGCAGTTAATTTTGAAATTCTGTTGAGGAGAATGTGATATATTCACAGCTAAGTTTTCAAAATTAATTGTTCACAAAATTAATTTTCATTTTACTAAGCATTATTATGATTATGTAGTTTGAAGGAACAAAGTAGAATCACCGAAATGATTTTAGGATAATATATGCAGTAAAGTGGAAAATAAGAATAGAATTGTTGTTACAATTCAGATCATTGCTGGGTTGTATCAGTGTGTTCGCCGAACTCATTTTTGGATTCTCTTCCTCACTGGAATGGAAGTTCCTTGAGCGCAGGGGTAGTGTCTGTAATCTTTTTCAGTTATATTATCAGTGCCTAGTACAGTGCCTTTACACAGTAGGCACTATATACATATATATACATATATACACACATATACGCATACACGTGTGTGTATATATACATATATATACATATAGACATATATACACATATAGACCCTGCCTCAAAAAAAAGTATATATATATGTGTGTGTGTATATATATATATATATATATACACTTTTTTTTTTTTTGAGGCAGGGTCTCACCCTGTCACCCAGGCTGGAGTGCAGTGGCGTGATTTCAGCTTGCTGCAGCCTCCACCTCCGGGGTTCAAGTCATTCTGCCTCTGCCTCCCGAGTAGCAGGGATTACAGGTGTGTGCCGCCAAGCCTGGCTACTTTTTGTGTTTTTAGTAGAAATGGGGTTTCACCATGTTGGCCAGGCTGGTCTCAAACTCCTGACCTCAAATGATACATCCCTAAAGGTTTACATCCCTAAAGGTTTGGGAGTACTTGTATCACAACTAAATTTCCGTACAGTGAGAAGATTTTTGAAAAATAGTGAGGTGAGTGGATAGAGAGTGAGGACAAGCCAAGAGCTGAATTTAGTGAATGTCCTAAGCAAGCTTCTTAACGTACAAATTAGATGATGTGAGATGCCCTTAATAACACGTGATAATGTTGTATACATTTGTGACTGACAGCTGACTTTTTAAGACTGTTGTTTGCAGCAGTATTTTGAGATTTTTTTTTTCACTAGAGAAAATTTAAGACTCTAGAGTCTTTAGCTTTAAAAAAAACCAAAAAACAGTCACTTATAGTAGTGGTGGGGGCAGGAGTGGGGGATTGTCTACTAACTTTAGTGACACTAACGTTAATACATTCTTTTATTTTATTTTATTTATTTATTTATTTTTTTATTTTTACGTTAATACATTCTAATAACCCACTACCATCGGACCAGTCCACCTTTTTTTTTTTTTTTTTTTTAATATGACAGTGCTGTCTCTGATTTTTGCAGTTAAAAATGAACCATTTCGTTAAACATTGTTTTACTTAATATCTAGCTCCAAATAGATGATATACCTTAGTAGTAAATAGGAAATTTAAAATAGGTACATGTTTAGTATTCCATTAACATTATTTACAATTATGAAGGGCAACCTCTGGTACTCTTATTTTAGTATAGTGATTGTGTATCTTTAAGTTTGATGTTATAACAAGTAATCTGTACTTTGCAAATTCAGAGTTTCATTTTCAGGGTTCATTACTAAATATTGACTTTCTAGTCCCGAATGAGAGTTACTGGGAGGAACGTGCTATGTACTGTGTGTAGTATCTCATCTACGGCTGTTTTTTCAAAGGGCAGAAGTATCTTAGATACAATATGTATTTTTGTAAGAAGTTTACTTGATTATAAGATATGTGTAATTTTTTTTCAGATATTCCTTTAATACACAACTTTTTCATATGTCAAGTTGAGAAACTTTTCCTAGAAGTTGTCTTAGAATTTAATCTACAATGTTTTTACTTTGTTTACTGCTTGGAGAGCTGATCCAATTTACTATCTCTTAGGTAATTTTATTTTCTCACTTTTCAGTTTTTATTGATCATTTTTAGTCAAGATTTTTGTTTTATCTTGTGTAAATGAGATAATGTATTTAAAGCACTTAGCACAGTCCTTATTTAAGTGGTAGTAACTAAAATTTCTTTAAAAACACACACACCCCCCTAACATTTCTTTAAACACACAGGCGAGTGTGCACGCAAATAGGCTAGTTTTGACTTCCTTCTCTTTCCTAGACCCTTCTCCATATACTAAATTAAAACAATGAGAGACAGTAAGGCATTTTCAAACAAGGGCAGTTTAAAAAGAAGAAAAAAGAGATTAGGGCAGATTAGAGAGTCAGCAATTTAAACTTACATGAGTTAGAATATTTGATCTTAAGACATTTTTATTTTATCTGTTTAATTTCAGTCTTTTAAATGTTACCTCTTATATTTTATCAAATACTGAAAGTAATATACTTTTTCTTGAATGAGATTCTTACTCAGTATGTTGTAAAGATGATTGATTTGCTAAACATTTAAGTATATAATTGGATATTTAAATCAGTATGAAAAGGGGGAAGTTGCTTAGTTTCTTGTACAAATTTGTGTGTTTGTACAACCCATTAGGTACCGTAAAGGAGGTTTTGGATGCTGCTTAGTAGTAGACTTATTTTCGTACCTTAGATCAGCGTTTTCTGTAGAGCTGAATGTAGTGAGAATATGTATTAGACGACTGAGTCAATGATAAATATTTTAACATTTCATTTGGAAGAATAATACTCTGTTTCTTTGACACATTTCCTGATGTTGAAGGATGCTTCTAGGGGTACTGGCAGAATTTTCTGGTTGAGATTAGTGAGTAAACCTGTTTCAGCAAGTATGGGAAAAATTTGAGGAAAAATTT